TGGTAAGTTTTTTCTTTAATTTCTATTCTCCACAGTTGTTGTAGTCTCTCATTCGCTATATAGAATCAAACATAAAAATCCACATATATATGAGTTCTGCTGTATCGTATCACATTATTTGTTTGGCGTTTTTGATTGTCGTTGCACACACATACACACACACACACACACACACAAGAACACACGCACTAATAAAGAATTGAAGAAAAAAATATTCATTTATGGTTGCGAACTGAATCTTTTTTCTCAATTCTTGAATGTTTTCATTCGATAGACAGATTTTACTGGAAAAGGATCCTTTTTATGAACCGATTTTTTTTCCACATCTGTTACTTTGTCAACCGACATTTACCATCAATTAAGTTATCGATACAAGAATTCTAAAATATGATGCTTGCCTGTGTGTGTGTTTGAATTTAATGAATGTTGTGTTTTCAAACGAAATTATTCAATAAATAATAAATGATTTTCTATAATCAAATAGCAACAACTAAATTAGATTAAAATTGCAAATTTATTCATTTTGTTGGTTGATTGGTGAATTTTTTTCATGTTCAGTATGCACATTTGAAATCTGGTATGTATGAATATGAATTTTGTATCATCCACAATATATTTAATCACTGTTGATTCATTATTTGATTATTTTAATGATGATAAAATTCATCGTCATTCCGTATTACATTTCATTTGTTCATTTCTGTTCTCAATTTATTCTATTCATTGATTATTAATAATAATCCTTATGGCATAAGAATTATAATGGATTTTCATCCATTATCAAATTGTGAATCTTTTTCTATGAAAATCACTATTTTATTCAGTGTTAAAATTTCTAAATAATTAAATGATGATAAATTTTTCATTTTTAGATTATATTATGATGGCTGAGATTATCATTTATTTTTGTTTTTTAACTTTGTTTGTGTTTGAATTTGAATCCAAATTTTATTTTTGAAACATGTGTTTTTTGTCTTCTTTAATTACTTTTGATAGTTCATTAATAATTTAAAAAATATTCATTCTAATTCACTGGAATTCTGTCATTATTTGTGTTTGTCATTGTAATTTTAATTGTAAGATTTTTTTTCAAAGGTTAGTTTGCCAGATATGGTAATGACATTCGTGTGTGTGTGTGTGTGTGTGTTTTCTGTTTTGTTTTCAATAATGATTAAATAACAATCGAAAAAAAAATTCAATTTCAACGCGACAATGTATTTTTTCGTTAAATTTTTCTATAATCAAAACAACAAAATATAGACTTATAGACTATTAACTCGATAGTGGATCGTGTTGTTTTTGGTTATGCTATCGAAATGGCAATTTTTGGTCCCAAATGATTAATCCATTGTCAATTAATTAAAAACATTGGAATTCAAGTTTACATGCAAGAAATGATTAATGTAAAAGAATTGAAAAAAATATAAAGAATGTAATTTCATTGGAAAATGATGGTAATTATGATTCTGATGATAATAATAATAACAAATTAGATTAATTTAATGAACTTTACTCAATAATCTTTCATAGTCAATACAATGTGAATGTTTTTTTCTATATTTATATTTTCTAAATCCATCAAATTGTCCACAAAAAAATCGGTATGATATGATCATGAAAATGTCTTTGTGTGTGTGTGTGTGCGTGCGTGCATTTGGAATATCAAGGCTTTCTCAATTTGGTAAAAGCAAACTATATTGAGAATTAAAACGGTAAACAACTAAAAAAAAAATTGAGCAGGTGGCACTTGACTTAGATCATAGATTATTTTTAAATTTTGTACTTTTTAACCTTGAATAAATTTTTTGAATATTTATCTTTAGACTTTGTCTGAAAAATTACTAAGAATTTTAGGTTATTTTTATCCTGAATTATACAAATAATAAAGTTGGTCAAACTAGTTGGATTTGTGAAACAATCACTTTTGTGAATGTGAGACGCATTCTCTTTGATCTATTGGTTGAATTATCATCCACTCAACAGTCATAGCCAATTTTTCAACAATATATGCCAAAGATTCATACTCTCTAAATCCCAATAATCTATAATATTTAATTTATTATTCTGTATTTTGTGACACAAGTGCCTTTTTGGCAGAGTGTCTTTTTTGTATTATTATTATGCATTCGTGAATTTGTTTATATGCATGTGTTGGTACCACAAACATTTCTATATAAAATTCAGAATAACTAACTTTTCCCTCCTGAAAACACGGTCATCGAAGAAAAAAAAATCAAATCAAAATGCATTTACACACACACACATACACATCCATTCATACAATGAGCCAAAGAAATGAATTTTGAATATATCGAGATATAGAGATTGAGAATATTTGTCACAAAGACTGAAGCTATTATCATCATCATGCTCATTTAGATTTTAGATTTATGTGCGTTTTTATTTTTACTTATTATTTGAATTTGTCTATTCAAATTAGAAATTATTATTCATCTGATATTTGTTCATCAATCATCAACAATATTCTTTTTCAGTTTGTTTGTTTCTGACCATACATATTTCAAGTGGATATGTCAAAATAAATATAAGTTTTTTTCCCTTACATTCAGATAGTTGTATAATTTTTTTTTCATGGTAATTTATATTCTGTGAATAATAATAATAATAACTTGTTGTAAACGTTTTTGTTTTCGTTCTCATTCGCTTTTTCATTCTTTAAGCAAATTTTTTTTTTTTTTGATTAATGCTGCAAAGTCAGCGAAAATCAGATAACAAAAAAAAATCGAAACATATTTGATCTTGTTTAGAATATGATAATCGGCACCGTTGCTTGTTCGATGATCGTCATGATAATTTTATTCTTTTTCTCTACCCTTGTTATTGGCAAACTTGATTTATATGAATGAATAAAATTAAACCGATAACCTTATTACACTTTATCGGTTTCCTTTATTAAACTTGATTCCATATGTTTCAATAAAATTTGAAAATTTCGTATGAATTTCATTTCATTTCATTTTTTTTTTTTTTACTTTTTTACTATCTGTTTCTATCTGTGGTGTAACAATTTTCCTTGCATACTATTTCCATAAACTTTCAATTTTTTTTTGATTAGATTGAAAAAAAAAATCATTAAACTTTTTTTTCCATCACATTTTTTTCCACTTTTATAGTTTTATTCAATTTTACATTTAATTTAAATTTGAAAATATATGTATTCTTCTCTTTCATTTGAAAAAAAACACCAACATAAATGTAGGAAAAAAAAGAAAAATTTACTCTAAGTAAATATTCAGTTTTTTTTGTGTGCATAATTTTGTATTTTATGAAGGAAACTTTATTTGGTTTTTTGTTGTCATTGTTTTATACCAACCGGTATAAACAACAAGAACAAAAATCAGAATAAAATTCGTGTGTCTGTGTGTGTGTGTGTGTTTTATGTTGGATTCAATGACGAAAAAACTTTGATTGCTAAATATTAAAAAACAAAAGAGAAGAATATTTACACAACGACACCAACATCAAGTAACCTTTTTTTCTATATTTCTCTTTTTTCTAATCATATCTGGGTTGATTTCATCATTTATTCATTACACACACACATATTGACACAGAATGATGATTTTTTTCGCAATAACAACAATGGTGAGATTTAAAAACAAAGAAAATGTGAAATTAAACAAAACTTTTTTCATATAAATAGGGTTATTACCAGACCCATGGAGTACAAAAGGATATGTCCACCTTTCAGAAACTTTCTCACATAACAAAAAAAATTTTTTAACAGATGTAAAGCTGTATTAAAAGCCCTTGGCAACCCTACACATAAGAATTGTAATCATTGATGATCTGTCTCTGTTAATCATCACCATTTTCATGAGTTTGAACATTTTTTTATTAGCTAGTTAATTCTTGTTTTTTTGATTCTTAATTCAAATTCTATACAATTGTTATTAATTTTCTTTTCTCTATTGTTTTATGAGATTATGTGTCGAAACAAATAAGATTAGTAGTGAAAAAAAAATAATGAGATCAAGATCAATAGCAAAAAAAAAGAAGAAAAGGAAAATGAATGAAATATCCATAAACAATAGTGCAATTCATCATCATAGTCAGAGAAAAAAAAATATCAATCAAGAATAGATGCAAAACACACATACAGACTTACTACAAACTTGATGATGATGATGATGATGAAACAAACTCGACAAGATCATCAAGATCTTGATGATTTTTTCAATAGATGTTATTATTTTAGGTTTTTTTTGTATTATGTATTATTTCAAGTCATTGCCATCATCCGGTTGTTGTTGTTTTTCTATGGAGTCATTGTGAAAGAATAAATGAATGAACAAAAATAAAGAACAAAATTAAATTTAAATCCTAAATTCCCTTCTGAATTGGTTTTTTCTTTATACTTAAAATTCAATTTTTTTCTATTGTTATTGTTGTTGTCGTTGCTATCTTGATCGTGTTTTTTTTCATGATTCCAGTATCTGTGGTCATACATTATAGTTTTGTTTCATTTGAGTTTTTTTTTTTTTTTTTTTTTTAATAATAATAGAAACATTGTCCGATTTTGTTTGAGCATGCGTATGTTTGTATACCATTTATGAAATTATGAATTTGTCATTTTTTTTTTTTTCCTTGAATTCACTACAGATTCATGATCATATTGAATTCATGTGAAAATTCATCATTATCAAAACAACATACAAACAAAAATAACAAGAATAATAATGAGACGTTGTCAGCTTGAAAACAACAACAACATCATCAAAATAGAATGAAAAACAATAACAATGTCTGTTCTTTGTCATCACATCAACAATATTCTGAATATTCTGATTTTTTTTATATGATAACAAATATTTAATGTGTTTTATATTTGTATTTTCATTGTATACAAAAAAAAAACAACAAATAATGGATAGATGGATGGTGATGGAATGAAAATCTTTTATCGTTTTTATTCACCATTATTCATTTTCTCAATCAAATTACTGCTGAATAATAATGATAATTTGCATACGATTGATACAAAAAAAAAGAAACGAAATAGAATTACAAAAATATCAACAATAACAACAAGCTTAGCAGAACTAGTTAACTAGTGATTTAGTTGTCACATCTAATTTGTTGTTGCTATCATTAATAATTATGATATAAAATCATGACTGAAGTGTCCATATTCAGTACAGGAGATAATCCGATGAATATTTTGACAGACATAGATCATCATCATCGTCATAATCATACTCATCAAGATACACATCATTTTCATCAAAATCATCAACAGGATTATTATCATCCTAATAATCATTATAATGAAAATCATCATCATCATCATTCAACTATACATCCAAATTTTAATAATCCAGAATTGGCCATTCATATTGATGATTATCAATTTTATGCAATCGTGATACAAGTAATACTTGGTATTACAACAAATGCAACAATCTTATGTTCATTAGCCATTAAAATAAGACGTCGTCGACGACAGAATCAACACGTAATTAATCATGGATTTGGTAAACAACAATCACAAATACCAGTGATTGATATAATCATCACATTGTTTTTCATCGAATCATTGCTTAAGATTCTATTTCGTTCAACAATACAGCTAGGATGTTTTTATGGTGAGTAAATCTTTTTTTCATTATTAATTAATTGAATCTTAGTTTCATTTTTTTGTCGTTGATATTTGGTTTGTTTCAATATATGAACACAATAAATTCAGATGAATTTAACAACAGAAAATTGAAACTTTATTCTCTGTATTTCTTGTGATTAAATGGAAAAAAAGAACAAAACATGACAAAACATTCACTAATGATTAATGTGTAATGTGAAATGATTTATATTGATATATTGGAATTGGAAACATTGTTGTTGTTTTGTTTTTCTCATAATAATAATAAATATATTATCATGTGACAAACTAAATAGGTAACAACAGCAACAGAACAATGTTGTTTTTTTTCATCCATTTCAGGATAATAATTATTATTATTGGGTGTGTGTGATTTTTTGTTTCGGTAACCAATTTACTTTATTTTGGCGATGAACATAGTCACACACACACACACACCTACTTATCAAATAAACAAACATTCAGGTGATTATAATGTATCGTCGTTGATGGATTGATTTTTTTTTTGTCATCGATGAAGAATTTTTACTGCATATATTTTACAAATAAAATTCAATCGTTCGAATATAAATTGATAGGCATAATTTTTGTTAAAGTTTATGTTTCCTTTACTGTGTATAAATTATGTTTTTTATTTAGTCTATAAAAATTATGGCCATCATCATTATTATTATCGGAAGTTTGTAGTTTTTTTTTTTTTTTTTTTGATGAGAAAATATCATTATATTGACATATATAATGACTTGTTTTCCTTCAATTTTATAGCAAATGCATCATAGGTAATCGACCAATTTTTTCATCGTTCAATTGGTTCATTTTGTTATTATTATGTTCACCGTATCTTGTTTTTACAGTTTTTTTTGTGGGAGGTGAAACATATATTATTGTAATATAATATAAAACCTGAAAATTTGGTTTTGAAATTGAAACGATCAAAAAAAAAATATTTCGCAAATGTAACTCTGATTGTACATTTATTGATTAAATGATGATATTTCGATTGAATTTTTTTTTATTGTTATTTTTATTATTATTGTGACCGCAAAAAGTGAAATAAAATTGAAATTGAAAATGGAAAAAATTTTTTCGACTATATAATATGAGAACCGGTGAAAATTAAAATATTGATTCGACTGAAATATGATTTTTTTGTATTGCAAAAAAAGAATATTGATCATAAAAATGAGCATACCTGTAAAGGATGTTTTTATGTGATCAAGTCAATATTGGTTTGGTTTGTTTTGATAGATGGGCTCAATGTTAGCTAGAACTAGAGCTGCTTCGGCTGAGAGATCGACTTGTAACCTTTAATAATGGAAATGGCGAAGGATCTTTGGATTGATAGAAGTTTGGCGCGTTTAGTTTAAGATCAAGGATGCTATTCCATGAGGGGAGGAGTAAGTGAGGATAGGTTCGATAGCAGATATGTAGATGGTTCTTAGAACGTCGGAGGATAGACCCATTCCTTCCCTGTTGTCCTTAGTATTTGATGGTACAATCGTCGTGACTTATTTGCGATAAGGTCGAGATGTTGGTTCCATTTGTTCTTATTCTCGATGATAACACCCAGGTATTTCATGTGTTTCACTATTTCGATTTTGGTACCTTTCATCTGGATATCTATTTCTCTTGTTTTCCCTTTTCTTGGTGATGAGCATTGCTTGCGTTTTCCTAGGGTTGAATTCAATTTTGTTGTTTTCCCCCATTTAGCTATTTTCTCTAGAGCTTTGTTGGTCCGATCCTCGCATATGTTAAGATTTTCATGAGAAACAACAAGGAAGGCGTCGTCCGCAAAGGCTTGAAGGTAGCAACCGGTCGGTAGGTGCAGTTTGAGAAGATTATCGTAAAGAATATTCCATAATAAAGGGCAGCATTTGGCTCCTTGTGGACAACCACGGCTCAGTAGTTTTTCGGCTGATTCCCCACATATTGTGAGTTTAGCTTTCCTGTTTGAGAAATAGCTTCTGAATATATTGATAATGTTTTGGGGATATTAAGATCGATGAGTGATAGAATTATTAGAGACCACCATGCTGAGTCAGAATGCTCCCGCAACATCGAGAGAGACGAATAATCCATATTTGTTGTTGGTCAGAATTTCTTTTCGATGTGAAATGATTATGTTGATAGCATCTTCCGTCGATCGTTGTGGTCTGAAGCCATATTGATGGTCGGATGGGCCAGTAGGATGTTGATATGTCCAGAATAGAAGACGTTTGTATAGAAGCTTTTCTATTTTCCCATAACGGATAAAAAACAGATTCGAGCCAGGTTTAGGGATTACTTTGACGGTTGAGCTTTAGATTGTAGATGTTTAGGAATAAGGTGGGGAGAGAGATTGTTGAGATGTTTGATGATGTTGGCGGAAATTCCGTAAATTGGATAGCATCATATACTTCTTCTGTGGGACGTCGTTCGACGTTGATTGAGGATATTGAGCGGATTTTGTCCATCCGTTGTCGGTTTTATTGTTTTAGGCTGTGATCATAGATTGATTTGATTTTGTATTCTTTGAGGCAGGCTATGTAATGGTTGTCAATATCTTCATTGTACCAGTAGATAACACGTTGGTTTGTTTTGATAGATAAAGAGCTTTCTGGTGATGGTTTGAATTTAGAATTTGGAAGCTTAAAACTTTTTGTTTCGTCTAGAACTCTCCAGTTTGACGAACGTGATTTCAAAAAAGTGGCGCTGTTTTCGACCTCTCGTGTTGTTGGGGTGATGCCGTCGTTGATACGCTAAATGTATATTGGGAAAGAAAAAAAGAAATCATAAACATATAGAATTCCAAAGAATGCAATGAATAGTAAAAGTTTTATTTTCTACAAAAAAATTGAGAAAGAGAAAGATATTTTTGTGTGTATTTTTAGTTTCAATTAGTTTTTTTTCACGTTGATTCTGCTTATCTTGGCATAATATTTTTTTTCTATTTTAGGATTCCTATATCAAGATTCTCATTTTATTCTCATCTTTCATTAATATCAATGTTGTTTTTATCAAGAATAAAATTGGTAAATTTCTAGTTAGTTTCAAAACTTTTTTATCATCTTAGTGTAGATTTTTATCAAACTTTTATTATATATATGTTTGATTCAGATAATAAAAAAGCTTTTTCTTTGTTATTACAAAATCATGTGATTTTAGTATTTAACCTGGTGTCTACTTTAACCAAATTAAATCACTGTCTATCGTTATCGTATTTTACCGTTTTTAAATTATTTTATTCAAAAAAAACCTTTTTTGAATAAAAATTTCCAAAGAATTCATCAGCCAAATGGTTGATTTGAAAAAAAAAAAAAAATTGATTTTATCTCTAAACATTTTCTGTTCAACAACCACCAAATTAATTTGGAAATTTTATCTTTCCAATTCTTTTTTGTTTCAATATCGATGTTGATATTGAATTTATTCAATTATATAATTTATTATTAAATCAAATAATAAAACAGCATTTTCTTTTAGAACTAAGAAACAATTGTATTTTTCCATTTATAGATCGATATTGCTTATCATTTCAAACTCATGAAATTCGTTTTCGATAATAGAATAAAATCATCAGTTTTGACTTTGTTATTTTTTTCAACTTTTCATTCATTTTACATGAGATAGTTTCTCAAAACAATATTGATATTGATTAGATTATATCGAGTTGAAATATAATCTATTTTCCATTTTTGTTTCATTTCACTATTTACAATAATAATGATCAATTCTATGATGATAATGTTATTTAATTTGACCGATGATAATATTCTTGATATAGTCGATAAATCGAATACATTTTTTTTGGAATTTAACTTGTTTTCTTTTTGACATCACATCCATTACGACTAGTATTTTTTTTATGAGATTAGCACTAATAATGAATTCATCATTGTTTTTTTTGTCATAATAATCAAATTGTAGGCTATTGCATCATATATAACGAAATACTTTGCTATCTACAAGGATTTGGCATTACATTCATGCATTATATACATCTATGGACGATGGCATTATTCATACATGATCGGTAAGTTTTTTTTTCTAATCAAACAGATCCCCCATAATATATATTCAATGTTTTTTTGACAGTTTAATGAGTGTTGTATTTTGTTTTCTTAGTTAATGGAAGGAAATAGAATTACTACCAAAATAAATCAGAAATGTTGTTGTTGTCGATATTGTCCATTGTTTTGATTTTTAATTAATTTTTTTCCTTTTACAAATACTCTAAATTGCTAATATTTGCTCTGATTGATTTTTTTGTTTGTTTGTTTGAGAATGCTGACAATGATGATGAATTCGACTCGTAGTTGACTGGTTTCCGGTGCAATTACAGAATAATTTAAGACAAAAAAAATGAAAAAAAAGCTCCCAAGAATTTCACATTAATTCTTAGTCATAATGAATATATATTGAAATGATAGCTAAGAAAATACCAAATTCCACCTTTTCATTCATTCATTATTAATCGTAAACAGATTTTTTTTTCTGTGATTATAATTTATCAATTATTCTATTCATCTTCTGTTTTATTTCCATGTTATATATGTACATTATCAATTATATATGAAAATTAATTTTTCATTTTTTTTTTCATCCATTCGTTCGTCTTTTTCTCGATTTGTATTAATTAATTAATCATCCATATCATTCCATCAATCGTAATGTTCATTCAATAATCATGTTCAATATATAAAAACATTTCAGTTATATAAAACATTATAAACAACAGAGTGATTATCTTTGTAAATGTACACATATGGTACTATATTTGACAATGTCTTGTATAGTATTTTTAATTACATTACATCTTTGTGCACCAATCTATGGTTTTTCAAATTATCGTTTTCTATATGGTAAGTTTTAGATTTAAATCTAATTTTTTTTTTTTTGTTTGCTGTTGATGATAATGTCATATTTGTGTGTGTAATATATCCATTATAGATGAACTAACATGTGCAATTGATTGGTCCACAAGACATTCATGTCCATTCTATGTATATTCGTTGTTATTAATCACTGGGCCAGCATCTATACCATTAATTTATTGGATGATGAGAATAACTTATAATTCATATCGTAATAATAATATAAGAATCAATTGGAGAATGTTTTGTCAACATTATCGTTGTTGTTGTTTTCGTTCACAAAATAAAAATAATGTTGATGGTTCTATCGGTGATAATGGTGATGAAACAAAAAATTCCATATCCAATGATAATGATAAAGATAATTATTCTCAAACATCATCTTATCATCATCATGTACCTACAATACGTTTTTCTAAACATTCTGAACAAATTGAAATATCTTCTCACCGACAACAACAACCACATGTTCAGCAGCAGCAGCAGCAACAACAACAACAACAGAATCTAGAATCAGTGATTACCATAGCTGAATATAATAAAATAACATTTTCACCGTCTACAACAAAAGATGATAATGATAATTTTATAATTCCCTTATCAATGATGCCCATATCAAAGTCACAATCTAAGCCGCCTACATCATCACCATCGATAGAATCGATTAATCAATATTCAATGCCTATTTCAGTGAAAAAATCATGTGATCATCATAAACATTGTGTTTCATCTTCAACTATTGGTGAAACAATGAAATCCGAAACAACAAAAGCGGATATAATTGTTACATCATCCACATCAGCATCGATTACTTCGATAGCATCTAATAGTAAAGTTGCTATTGATATGGATGATAATGATAGTAATGGTAGTGAAAATAAAAAATGTTCACAAATTCATCGAAAACCAATTAAAACAATATTAAAATTGAAACGATCTTCTTTGTTATTAAAACATCGGACAACCACCACTGATCGACGATCATCACCATTTGGTAGTGGTTGTAAAACTCGCTGTTCCGGTAATGGTAATGGTGGTAATCTTTCTTGTTCAACATCATCTGGGCTAGACAATCGTAGGACAGCAACAAGAACGAAAACAACAGTAGCAACTAGTTCCACACAATTTTCTCAACAACATCGTCAACAAAGTCGTTCAATTGTATTCAATGAAACAAGAGAATTAATTTCTATAACAATTTGTTCATGGATTTACATCTCAGGTTATTTGCTCAAATTATTCATCGATGGTTGTCATGCTTGTTTACCAACATTATTTCAAACAATGACTACTTCATCATTATCATCATCATCATCGCCGGAATCATCATCGAAATTCTTAGTGTATCAATTTTTCATTGTATACATTAATGAAATGGCCTCTACCGTTTTATTACCTTTAATCATGTTGTTTACACATCCAAATCTACGTGTTATTCTATACGGATGTTTAGAATTATTATGGTCATCATTGATACGTTTAAGTATTAGATGTTCACGTTGTATAACCTCATCATCATCTACAATGAGAACTGGTACCCATACGCCAATGGATACATTCAATCTGTCTAATGCAACAATCATTGATGATAAAGCCAGTCATCGACATCATCATCATCATCATCATTGATAAATTACGATAATTTCAGAATGGTTTTTTTTATTTCACAGATTTATTATTTATATAAACATTGTCAAGAAAAAAAAACAATTCATTCATTTTGCCATTGTTATCATGTTATTTATGTTGTGAATAAATTGAAAGAATTATTTTTAAAAAATGTTCCATTAAATCGTTTTATTTGTTGCTTGCTTAATTTGAACAGGATTGAGAATTTTATCCATTTATGACGAAATAAACTATTTCGACCATAAACATGACTATGGAAAGGCCAACGCCAAATAGATAAATATAGATTAAAGATGATGTATTTGTCGTATCCAATGAATGTTCACCAATATTATTATTATGAAGAATTCTATTTTTAAAATTAATTTCGGATATTTCTTTTACATTAGTTTCGATATCGTTTATTGTTAAAATCCATTGATTTTGTAATCTAGACAATTCTGATTGTAACCAATTGAATTTAATCGATCTTCGCCATATCAGATTCCAGATTCCCATTCCATGAATAACTTTTGATAATTGACGTAAATAATGTTTTATTTTGTTGTCAAGATTTTTACGTATGGCTATATTTACTACCGTACCAGGTAAACCTTCGATTGATACATGAAGTTTAAGATTTTCATAAAAATTTTCTAATAATTGTGCACGTCCTCTATCAATGATCAATATATGTTGGCCATCCACTATTTTTTTTTATAGTTTCCCATGTGGTTAGTTCAGCATTATTAACGGGTGTTATAAATTGTTCCAATTTCGGAAAATTCTGTCATTGATTTAAAATTGAATATATAAATAAACAATGTTTCTATTAATTGTAGTTTGATATTATTTTCAAATCAATCATTATTGGTTTTTTTTCATTTTTGTCTCTTGCACCATTCCATAAAAAAAATCGAAAAAATTCTTGCCTCAAGAAAAATTTTTGCGGTCGTTGAATTTGGATTCAAGATGATCCTATAATCGGGATGTATTTGAAGAAATAATTCTAATTGATCAAAATAATCGATGGTTTGTTCTTTTTCCGATAAAAATAATGCCAATATGTCTAATGAGAATAATAATCGTAAAATCATTGAGCTAAATATCCAGATTATTAATGAATTTTGTAAAGTTTTTATGACCGTTTTTATTTTGAGTTGCCCCCATTGATGATAATGATGATCAGAACGAATAAGAACGGGATTTTTCCATTTGGGCAAATCTATTTGCAGACACACACACACACACAGACAGGAAAAAAAGAGGATATTAGATAAAGTAAAAAAATTAAATGAGACCTGAATCATTAATGATGATGGTGTTTTGTCATGAAGGTGGAGCAAAACATCGAAAAAAATGTTCCAATAATATACTCAGTTTTTATTCGTATTAATCATTTTACCTTGACCAATGAACAATGTATTCACGATAATGTTGGTTTCTGTAATGCGTGTAGTGATGGAAAAATTACTGATGTTCCACATCGTTCAACTGAAAAAATTAATACCTGTATGCTAAATCTGAAGTGTATGAATCCAATTCATATTGACATTTGCTATGGTTATACAGATCGTTCAATTCATGGCAACAAATATTATTTGATCTGCTGTAGATGAAAACTTATCATACACGTTAAAGTGGAATTTCTGAAAAAACATGGTGATTTCTTCAACAAATTTATTAAAATTAATCAATCAGATTAACTTCGAAACTGGTAATAATGTATTGTGTATTCGTGCAGTGATCTCGTAACACCGAATTTTTCATCGAATAAATTCGTGATTTTGTTAGAATCAATGGTATATCACTCACATCCAATTTACTGCATGTGTTGGTGTATCTCAACAAAATGGTTTAGCCGAACGTCATCGTACGAAACATAATGTTGTGCACGACATCGATCTTGGTTTCAAGTGGTTTGCCAAAATTTTTGTGGGATGAAGCAGTGAATTGTACTGTGTATGTACTTAATCGTACAATGAATTATAAAAATGTAGTCCCATATAATGAATGGTTCAACAAAAAGGCAAACGTCAACAATCTTATTGTTTTTGGTAGCTATGGTAAAGCATTGAATGATGATAAAGTTGGCAAATTTGAATCAAAAGCCACTGATGTTTATATGGTTGGTTATCAAGGTGACCATATTTATCGATGCTATCTACCGAATAAACGTGAAGTCCATCTGATATCTGCTGTCAAGTTCGATGAAATAGCAAAATGCAGATCTGTAGCATATGAAATTCCTGGTGATAATTTTGTTTCTGAACCATCTACTAGTTTGGTTGCTGAAAAGAATGATGATGATCAAGATGAAGATGCTTCTGGTGATGGTGATGATGATGTACCGAGACGGGGGAGACCATTGGGGTCTCAAAATAAAACATATGAAGTTAATCAAGAACGATTGAATTCTTTACGACCTCGAAATGTAATTGGTGTCGTTGCAGCTGGTACTGAGCCACTAACGTTTGATGATGCTGTAGATTCAGAGGAATCTATGAAGTGGTTTCAAGCTATGACCAGTGAGATGAATTCATTGATTGAAAATAAAACATTCACATTAGTTGATCCACCGAATAACAATCCTGTTATTACATCAAAATGGATATATCGTATCAAAAGCGATGGGCGTTACAAAGCGCGTTTAGTCGCTCGTGGTTTTCAACAACAACATAATGTTGATTATTTTGATACATATGCACCGGTTATTTCGTTTGATGTGGTTCGATGGTTCTTTAGTATTGTGGCATCATATGACATGGAATTATTGCAATTTGATTTCACTACTGCATTCTTAAATGGTCTTCTAAAAGAAGATATTTTCATGTATCAACCATGTGGCTATGATGATGGATCTGGTCGAGTGTGGAAATTGAATCGTGGTCTTTACGGATTGAAGCAAGCACCACGTGCCTGGAATGAACGATTTCATAAGGTGCGAAGCGTTACTGAATTTGGTTTTGTGGTGTGCATTGGATAATTGTTTTGTATTTTAAACGTATCGAAAATCGATTGATTCTACTCATCCTGCTAATGTTGATGATGGTTTGTAGCATCAATTAACAAAGTAGATTTATTGACGATTTTATGGTTTTCTGAAATCCAAATTCAAATTTATATATCGTAAATGAATTTGCACTTTTCTTGGCATTTAAATATATACGAAATCGTACTGAGAAGATAATCTATTTGGATCAATCAGAAATATATCAAACTAAAGTTGGATCAATTTGGGTTATCAAATTGTAAAATCTGTCACCATCACCAATTGTTTCTGGATCTTTAAATAAGAACTTTTTTCAGATGTAGTTGAAAACTATCCATATCGTCCAGGTGATCCGAAGTCTACCCCTATATGTAGCCGGTGAAGGGCTAGACCGGATATTTTATTTGCTGTTTCTTATTGTAGCAAATTTTGCGGAAAGAACAAACATATCAATCAGATTATTAACAATATGATGAAATCTGAGCCATTGATTCGAACGATTGCTACTATGATGAACAATAAACATTGATGGACAAAACTTTTCTTTCAAATTAATTGCAATTAAACATTCCAATGAATTTGTTAAAAATGTAAAACATAGGAAACTGGTTAATATTAATAACCAGATATCCAATGTATAAGCATGAAATAATCTAAATGGATCATCATTGATTAGATAATGTTTTTGAGTTAGCATTGTTGTGGTATGTTCTTGTGGAAATAATTGTTTATGATCCAATAATTGATGACGATTATATTCCATTGAAAACATATGCGGTATAAAATCAATCTTCTATCGAATGTAGCAACAACAACAACAACAACAACAAAAAAAACGAATCATCATGTTTAAAAAAAAAAAAAAACATTCGAAATAAACTTTTCTTACATTTTGTTGTACCAATTTTAATATTCCGGTCCAGGAACCGTTAGATGTTAAATAGCCACCATAAGATTCATTGGAAACAACAAAACTTATGCTTTGAACATATAATAAATAAATTTTTCATTTAATTGGATGAAAATTATTGATAAACATTTGATGGGGTGTGATGATCATAAAAAATAACTAACCTACAACGATAATAATGTAACAACATTAAATAGATTTCATAACTTGATGAACAAATATATTGTTCACCATAAATGATGAAAATCTGAAATTGAAAAAAAAATTGAATTTTATCATAAATTGATAATAATATAACAAAAATGTTCATACCTCGTTTGGAAAAAGACCGGCACGTAAATTACAGCTAGTATTACGATCAACTTTTTCACGTTCAATTTGTGCAAAATTTTGAAAACTAGACATACTCCATGATATTGTTGATGAAATTACCGGCATCGAATTATATAACGAAATGTCTAATGGCCAAATAGTTTCATTTAGATCCATTTTAAAACAAAAATCATTGATCAATTTAGGTAAAATTGACATTTTCAAGAAAATTTTGTTACATATGTTTCGTAAATTGAATCAAATCGGTAATTGTTGACTATTATTTCTTCTTCTATAGTCATTATTTTTGATGTTGATGATTGAAAACTTTCAGTATACTCAATTAGTCAACTTCAATCAGATAAACAAGCAAAAAAAAGTGGAGATAGAGACGACAAAATTCTAGGTAGAATAAAAATACGGAACAAATTCAGTTATGAAGGAAAGAATCAGAGAAAAAGAAATTACATTTATGTTTGTTGTTAATGACACACAGTATACAGATGAGAATGCAGAATTTTTCTTGATGAACAAAATTACCAATCAAAACACATACACACGGTCAATTTATCATCATCGTTTATCGACTTTTTTGCTTGTTCTTGAACTCTTGCTGATTCGTTAGTTAAAAAACATACAAATGATTCAATGTTACAAAAAAAAACAGCAACAACAAACCACACATAAAAGACAAATCAAGGAAAAACTTCAATCATTCTACTTCTAATGAAATGTATGTAAATCAAAGAATTTTTCATTTTCATTTTATGACATTATACATACAAAAATATTTTTAGCATTTTCATATATTCAAAACAATTTTTTTTTCATTATTATTCAATGGAAAATTTTGTTGTTTTGCATACATGTAGTTTTTTTGGAAAAAAATAAAAATAGAATTTGATTTAAGACAAAATTTCCAAGGAAAAACCTTTGAATATATTAAATCGATAACTAGTAACAATGGAAATACAAAAATGGTGGTTGTTTATGTAAAATTATGATGGGAAAAAAATTCATGTAAAAAACATTACATTTCCAAGCAAACAAAAAAAAGAAGAAAAATTCAAGTTTTTATGATGAGAATACATAATGTTTTTTGATAAGAATAACAATTATTAAATAGATATATCAAGCGAAGCGTTATAAACAACACTGAAATAACAAAAAAAATGGTTTATTTCTTTATTTGGATCCAAAATGGATTCGTATACGAATACCATATCGGAAATTTTTTTGGTTCGATTTCTTCTTTTTTTTCCTTCTCCTCTTCTTTATTTGCACTTTGGCGTTTCAGTTTCTGTCTGTGTGTGTATACATATTCTTTTTTTTCGCCAAATGTCATATGAACATTGTGGATAGAAAATAAAACAAAAAATAAAATAAAAAATATCGAAATTATAACATCTAAACATGTCAAAAAATATTTGGACCGTTATTGATTCACATATACGTTACATTCAGTTTTTGCAGTTTTTTTTTGGTCATATTGTATACAAATATGTATTTGAAATATAAATCATCGGCAACAACAACATACAATGTTTATGAAGATAATGTTATCACTTTTTTTCTTCTTATTTTCACAGTTCTAATTTCTTAATTGTTGTTTCGTGGATATGATCCAATTTCGCTATATCGATTCTTCTTCTTCAATTTTTTTTTTCATTTTCGTTCAATATAGCTTATCACTGTTGTCAAGTCAGTGATAATATTATTGTTGTTTTTCTTGTCACCATCGTTATGGGAAAAAAAATTTATTCTTTTTTCGCTAATCTTGTACTATTTTTTTTCTCGATTATGACGTCAACAAAAACGAAAAAAAAGAATAAGATCTCATCATCATCATCATCATGTTATGTTGCAGAAAGATATTTCTTTTATTCACATCTCTCTTCTTATTGTTATTGAGTCCATGTTTTTTCGTATGTGCGATACAATTTTAAATTAAGAAAACATTCGAATTTCTTTCTTTTCATATTCCTCTCTATTATTATCTCATTGCCTAGGATTCTAAATCCTTTTCTTAACTCTTTCGCATGATTGAATGTTCTGAAATGAAAATTGAAAGAAAAAAAAACACTTTTTTCTTGTTTATCATGATAAAAATGTGAATCATTCAATACACAACAAATCGATTGAAATGATCAAAGTTTATGAGAAAGTTTGTATGGTTTTTTTTAAATTTCTTCAATCACCCATTTTCCCAAGTTTTAATTCCTCTTCATTTTTTTTTGTGTAAAATTTTCGAATGATTATGCATTGTAATTTATTATTTACTTTAAAGTTATCATCAAATCCAAGCGATTGTTTCTCTAATCGTGTGTCTAAATTTTGATTCAAATGGTTTTTTTACGTATAGCCATATTACCCAATGTATATTGATTTCTTCAATCACCCATTTTCCCAAGTTTTAATTCCTCTTCATTTTTGTGTAAAATTTTCGAATGATTATGCATTGTAATTTATTATTTACTTTAAAGTTATCATCAAATCCAAGCGATGTAATAATAATTCCAAAATAAAAATGATACAAGCATATATAATGGCAATTAAATAGAAATATACAAATAAAAACATATTTCGAGTGATTGCTGATCGTTTTTTTGTCGATTCATAAACCTTCACTTGATACATGTAAATCATAATTTCTATATGATCTTACTAACAAATTTGCACGTGCACGTCCCATAATAAGAAAATATGGTTCATTAACCACTTTATTAATAGTTTCCCATGTTGTCAATTGATGATTGGTTATTCGTACAATATATTTTTTAAGATGAGGATATTTCTGTTGAAAATTCAATTTGAAAATTAAATAATGTAATTAATTAATTAATTAATTGAATACAATAAAAGACTTACAAGTAAAAAAATCATTCCAGTTCTAGATTCAGAATTCATAAGAATTCGATAGTCATTATTGTTAATTAATAATTGTTCAAGTTTATAGAAACTATCGATAACTTTTTCTTTATCCGAAACCAATACGGCTAATATGTTTGATGAAAATAATAATCGAATAATAAACGAACAAAGGATCCAGAATATTAATGGTTTTTTTAATGTTTGAATGGCATCACGCCGTCGTCTTATATTAATTTGATTTTTCCATCTAGGAAAATCTATAGTTTGGTAAACAAAAAAAAAGAAACAACAATTAGCGTTGATAAATTATTTGATTGTTTTTTTTCTGGAGGGGAACAAAAACGAAAAGCCATACGAATAACAAATGAGAAATGAATAACAAACCTTGTCCCATAAACAAAGCAAATATGTCACACACGTTGCGTAATAATCGAAAAAATTCTGATTCTGATTGAATTCGTATTTCACTATTCACGATGGTGGATGAATAAATTTCTTGATTATCAATGCCATTTTTGTATTCATAAATATGGTCATTTGTTCTGATTCTATCGGCTATAATTGTCATCAATAAAAATACTATGAAACTGATCGATATTAATAGCCAAATTTCTAATGAGAATATTGTGAATAATTTGGATAGATCATCATTGTGTAAATGTTGTTTATGGCTTAATATTGTAACGAGATGTTGTTGCGGTGTAATGAAATCCGTATCCAATATTCTATCACGTTTATCATTGCGAGAGAATTGATGTGGTAAAAAATCGATTTCCTAATACAATAGCATCGAATTAGAATTGAGAATCGTACAATTTAGTATTTTGATGAGGGGCAGATAAATGAAAAATCGATTATAATGGATGCAATGCAAAGCAAATTATTTCATCATCATTTAATGCAATCAATTCATCATGATTTTCTGTTACGAAAACATCATAGAAACTTTTTTTTTCATTCGTCTACGGTAAAACCATAATGGAAAAAAGCCTTTAAAGTGTATATAAATGAAACAAACTTTATCCGCAATCATTTTCAGTATGCCATTCCAGGAATCGTTCATAAGCAGATATCCACCAAAATTAGCTTTGGATACGATGAATTTAATACTGTTCATATATACGTATAAAAATAATCAATGAATATGAATTAGAATCCAAAAATAATTTGTTTTAAACATTTTTTTTTTTCGTTTTGTTTTCATGACTACAGCTGTAACAGTAATATATACAGAGTTTATTTTTATAATTATTTATTATTACTTGCCTACATCGGTAATATTGTAATAGCATCATATAGATTTCATAATATATTGTACAAATATAAGTTTGATTATTGATTATTTGAAGCTTTTTACCCATGAATATCCATGTCAAATATCCAAAGTTTTTTTTCCAGAAATCATTACACAATTTGAAATAAAATAAAATAATGAATTAATTTTTTTTCTAAAAAGATTCATACCTCACTTGGAAATAGTCCTACACGAAGATTGCACGTTGTATTACGTTCGATGAATGTTTCTTCAGTTAATATCATTGATTTGAATATAGTTGGACTTATGCTCCACGATAATTGTGGGATTCGATTAGAAAATTCTTGTATAATTCGATCAGATATTGGCCAAATGGTTTCATTTGATTGCCATTTAAAACAAAAATTTTCGATTAATTTTTTCATCATTTTCGATGATGATTGTTGTAACATTGTTTTGGATAATTTCAATCTTGACAAAATTATAATAATTTTCAAATTTCAATTGATATTCATTATTCGTTTGAAATCGTCCGATTTTTTTTTTGAAACAGCTGCGCAGAAATGTAAATTCTAATTTTTTTGGTGTTATAAATGTTGTAAGTAAAAAATAGTAACATATGTACGAATCAATGTACATTCACTCAATAATAAATCATAGTACTTGTGAACCAGTTGATACAAATATATTGATTTCGAGACTATATTATCGATATGAACAATTTTTTTTTCTGGATTTTATAAATTCTGTTACCAAGGTACAATTTCGATCATCATCGATAATGATAACCATTATTCCATTGTAATGCAACAGACAAGGTACATATCCTAATGGTGTTACAAAGATATTAATTGATTGAATATATGCCACAGAAAGGTAATTAAAAAATGAAAATTTTTCTTGATCTATTTTTTATTTTTCCTTTTCAATATATAGTGTAATTGTTCCAGAAAAAATATAATCAATGATATTGCGATAGCCAATAGATAAAGATGGATCAATGATGATGCATTCGTTGCATTCGATGTACGAGTTTTCGATTCATTATTAAGTTGATTTCGTTTGAATCGTAATTCAGATTTCTCTTGGCTATAAAGATTTGTATTATTTGAAATTTTAAACTCTTGATATTTTAATCGTTTAATTTCGTTTTTCAGCCAATTATAACGAATAAGTTTACCCATACTTAATTTCCATATACCATAATGGAAAATTTTTTTCGACACTTCAAGCAAATGTGTTTTACCAGGTTCATTCAAATTTTTTCGTATAGCAATATTTGACATGGTTGATAGCAATCCTTCTTTTGATACATGCAGTTTAAGATTCCCATAGAAATCTGCAATTAAATTGGCACGTTCACGATCAACAATAAGGAAATATCGATCGTTAATTAATTTATCAATTGTATGCCATGTGGTTGCGTCTTCATATTCGATCGTAACAAATCGATCATCAAAACGGGCGAATTTCTGATCAAGCAGAAAAAGAAATAATCTTATCATTAATAGAGCCATATATTATGAACTCCTTACTGTGCGGAAATTTCTTCCAGTCGTTGATTGTTGTTCAACAAATATACGATAATCATTATGCTGCCATAGCCAAATACCTAGCTGTTGAAATGTATTAATCATTTGTTCTTTTTGCGATACTAATAAAGCCAATATATCAGTGGCAAATAATAATCGTAATATTAGTGAACAAACAATCCAGAATATTAATGAATTACGTAATATTCTTATTGGATATAAATGTTGGCGTTGATGTTGTGGTCGCCTTCGTCGACAATTATGTTGTTTCAATTTGTTACGTTGATCACAAATTGAATTTTTCCACTTGAAAAATTCTTCCCAATGATGATGATGTATACACATGAAACAAATTGATTAGTTTCAAATCAAATTAATTAGATTAATTATTTATTTTAGATCATCAATATGCATTAGGATAATTTGTATTATAGAATCAACAATACAAACCTTGTCCCATGAACAATGCAAATACATCGACCATATTATGCAATAAAAGGAATTCTGTCATTTGTTGATTAAAATGATGCTTGTTATCAAAGGGATCATTGTATTTTTGTTGAATTTTGTTCATCACATATATCGATAATGTAAAACAAATGAATGAAACAAAAATCAACGACCAAATATCCATGGAAAATGCCCGAAACAATTTCAATGGATCATCATCGGCTAGATATCGCTTCTGGCTTAATATTGCTACTAAATGTTCTTGTGGCATAAGAAATTCGTTATTCAATATTGCATTACGTTCATTGTTTCTGGATAACATATGCGGTATGAAATCGATTTTATTTTCATCAATCAATCGTAATATTCCAGTCCATGATGAACCGTTTGCGGTGAGAAATCCGCCATAATTCTCATCGGATACAATAAAGTTAATACTGTTTTTTTGTTTGTTTGTATGAGAAAAAATAAACAATGAATTTATTCAATTTCAAAATTTAACTTGCCTACAGCCACAATATTGTAGTAACATTGCCAATATTTCATAACTTGATGTACAAACATATTGTTGATTATCGATTATGACAAACTTGGGAAAAATTATTTGTTTTCCATTAAATGAATTTCCATTATGTTCATTCATACCTCATTTGGATATAATCCAGCTCGAAGTTGACAATTAGACTGTGTTGTATTTTTCATGTTATAATTAAAATTCCCAGATAATCGTCCAATTATTGATGAATCATTCATTTTACTCATAGTTGATGGCCATATTGTTCTATTTAAATCAATTTTAAAACAATAATCATCGATTAATTTGGCTACTGGTGACATGATCACAACACTGCTGTCCACTATAATGAATATATATCAAGAAATGTTTGGAAAATTATTTCAATTGAAATCTTCGTCTTTGGTTGATTATTGTAGAGTAAATGATTGAGTAATCATTCGAATGATTACATTCAAATTAAATCATCGATCATTTGACAGGTGTAAAATGACAGATTTTTTCACGCCAACATTATTCAGATTCAAATACATATTTTATTGATATTTCATGCTCTTTATTGAGACAATTGACAATTCCGAAAATTGTACTACGTTTGTCATCATGTAATGTTCAAGTACATTTTCAGACAAATCAAGTATGATTTTGTTTAGATTTTTTTTGTATTATCTGGATGAAAAAGAAGAAATTATCAATCATTCGATGTTTTAAATGAAATATTACTACTAATTTGATCTTTTTCATATAAATGAATGGCTTTTTTCATTTGTAATATTGATCACTACTAGTGATTCACTTGATGATTGACGTATCGATTACGATAAACAACCATATAATTATAAACTTTATCATAAAAAAACCTCCATATGTAGATAGAATATCTTTTTTTTTGACATTCAAAATTTTTGCAAGATGTTAGATTCATTTCATTCATGTATAATCAAATGATTTGACACGTTTTACCTCTTTTTCATTCATTTTATAAGATGTCCTTTTATTTCATTAATTTAAATGCTTAATTAATGATGAATAATGGACAATTATATTGTGTAATTCATCAATATAAAACCATTAATTCTTAATGGCATCAACAGTGATTCCAAGTGTATATAGTGATCCACATTTTATTGGTAATCGTAGAGTTATAACTCATTTAATGGAATGGAAATATGATGATATTGGTAATGAATGTGAACGTTTTCTTGGTCCTTATGGTTATGGTGGTGTACAGGTTTCACCGGTAAATGAACATGCCATTATGGATGGCCGACCTTGGTATGAACGGTATCAACCAGTTAGTTATGTGATTCAAACACGTAGTGGTAATGAACAACAATTTCGTCACATGGTACAACGTTGTAATCGCGCGGGTGTTCGAGTGTATGTGGATGTCGTTCTTAATCATATGACTGGTGGCCAACAAGGTCTCGGAACAGCTGGTAATTATTTTAATGGTCATGAGCAACAATATCCGGGTGTGCCGTTCGGACCTGAGCATTTTAATGGCCCTGAAAGTTGTCCTACCGAAAATTTGGAAATTATAGATTGGGATAATAGGTATGGTAAATTTTGCTTATCGGAGATTCATACCAGGCATAGCAAGTGTAATGGCATCACTACATGATCTCGAAAAGAATTGTGATTCAAATGATCTTACGTGGAATGCAAATGCTGAACGAGACTTCATCGAAATTAAGAAGCTCTCAAGCAGAAAATAAAATTAGCTTGTATCGATCCAAATGCCAAGTTACAATTAGTAACAGATGCAAGTGATGTAGCTATTGGTGGTGTAGTTGAACAAGTTTTACGTAACGGATCCAAGCAACCGATTGGATTCTATTCAAAGAAACTTAATGATGCTCAACGAAATTACAGTACATTTGATAAAGAATTGCTCGCCGTGTACAAATCAATTATTCATTTTGATTATGTTCTAGAAGGTCGGTCGTTTTCTGTATTGACTGATCATAAACCATTGATAAATGCATTGACAGTTCGTACGAATCAGAAGAGAACACCAATTCAGCAACGTATGATGATGTATATTTTGGAATTTACGAATGATTTTCAATATATTGCTGGATCGTCAAATGTTGTGGCCGACACATTATCACGTATTGAAGTTGGAAACGTTGAACCATTTTCAATACGAACTATCGCGAATTCTCAAATCAAAAATACGTCGTTTATGAATGAAATTTTAACCGAATATCGCGACCAGTTGAAAACATTGGAATTTTCTGATGTAAAATTATGGTGTCATGTTGATGATAAACGTGTAAGACCAGTATGTCCACCTGAATGTCGGCCTATGGTTTTCAAAATGGTGCATGGTTTATGTCATCCGTCGATTAGGCGAACGAGGGGATTGATATCTGGAAAATATTGGTGGCCTAGTATGAACAAAGAGGTTGGCGAGATGGCTAAGAATTGCCTTGATTGTCAAGCAAGCAAGATTCAACGTCACACTCGGGTGCCGCCTGAACAAATTGAAATACCCAAATTACGATTCCAACAGGTTAATATTGATATTGTAGGACCGCTACCGAATTCTTCCAATCAAAATCGTTATGTTCTAACAATGATTGATCGATTTTCACGTTGGCCTGAAGCTGTACCGTTACCAGAAATTACTGCACCAGTGGTGGCACGATGTATATTAACACACTGGATAGCACGTTATGGCGTACCCGATCAAATAACAACCGATCGTGGATTACAATTCCAAAGTCAATTGTTCAAAGAATTCGTAAATCTTATTGGTACGGATCACATTCAAACAGTAGCATTCAATCCAAGGGCGAATGGTATGATAGAGAGATTTCATCGATCAATGAAAGCATCAATTATGGCTGTAAACAATGATGATTGGGAACTAGCTTTACCACTGATTTTATTGGGTCTACGTACAGTTTATCGAGAAGATTTTGATTCTACTGCTGCTGAAATGATATATGGATGTCAGATAAATGTTCCATCTGATCTGGTTAACAACTACGATGATTCAATTGGGATAATCCCGTTCAATCACGTAATTGCCGTCTATTCGGTCTTCGTGATCTAAAACAATCTTGTGAATATGTTCGCCGAAAACAAATCGAATTTTTGAATAAATTGATTGATTTCGGTGTAGCTGGCTTTCGTTGTGATGCCTCGACACATATGTGGCCTGAAGATCTGCAGAATATTTTTTCGCGCTTGAATAATTTGAATGAGGAATTTTTCCCATCGAATTCACGGCCTTTCATTTATCATGAAATAATCTATTATGGTGGCGGTGGTATTAATCCTAATGAATATATTTCATTGGGACGTATCATTGAATTTCGTTTTTGGAAAGAGATTACTAATGTATTTCGAGGTCATAACCAATTGAAATGGTTACGAAATTTTGGTACTGAATGGGGATTGATAGACAGTTCGGATGCATTCATCATGATTGATAGTCATGATCTACGTGTAGGTCATAATGGTGAACTTGGATTCAATATCAATTGTTTTGAGCCTCAATTACTGAAAGCGGCTACAGCATTTATGTTGGCATGGAATTATGGAATACCACGCATACTAAGCAGTTATCGATGGAAACAGATTGTCAAAGTAATGAAATATACAGATATGAATTTTCTCAACACAAAGAGAAAGTTGTTCATTTATCGATTTCTATTAATCAATCAATCATTTTTCCATTTCACAGGATGGCAAAGATCTAAATGAATGGGTTGGACCGCCTACCGATTTGTTTGGCAATATTATTTCAATAAAAATTAACCCAGATGAATCATGGAATAATCAGTATTGGATGTGCGAACATCGATGGAAACAAATCTACAATATGGTACGATTCAAATCGATCGTCGATGATGAACCAATTATAAACTGGTGGGATAATGGTGATAATCAGATTGCATTCAGTCGTGGCAACCGGGGATTCATTGCATTCAATCTACAAAAAACAAGATTAAATAACGACGATAATGGCAATGCCGACTATGACAAAAATCAACTAGATCTTCGAAAAAGACTACAAACAGGTCTACCGGCTGGAACATATTGCGATATAATCAGTGGTGATCGTGATGGTAACAAATGTACAGGTAAATCGATTATTGTTGATCAAAATGGATGGGCCAACATTTACATTGGTCATAATGAATTGGATGTTTTTTTCGCTACTCATTTGGAAGCTAAATTAACCGAATGATTTTCATTAAACATAGACAAACATTTTTTTTATCATTTTCTATGACTGTATACAGTTAAAATAATATAGAATTTCATAACAAATAAATACAGAATCTTATTGTATGTAGATTTCCTCAGGGAAATCAAAGCGATGTCGGAATGAAAAGAAAAATAATAAATACCGATACAGATATTTTTGATTAAAACTTTGTATTCATTGTACATAACCATTTGAACATTTTTCTTAATCGAAATAACACGACAATCTACTAGTTAGAATTAAAATTGTAACTGGAAACGAAATTCTTTGTAACATTATATGTTTATTTGTTATTTTGTTGTTGTTGATGATGTTAATAAAAATAATGTCCATTATTACAATGAAACTGAATTGAATTGAAATTATTAACTGGTTATTTATGATTCTTATCTAAACAATATTGATGTTTTTTTTTAAATCGATTCATTAATTATATACTTGAATTTGGTTTGCATCCTTGACACATTGCCAAATTCGACTCATTTTTTGGTTAAATTTTTTTTTCTAAAAAACACTTGAACATAAAAACGACAACATAATCATAGTTTTTTCTCAGATCATTATCTGTAGTATATACTTTTTTGTGTTAAATCAAATCCAATCAAAATAAAAATTTTTTTTTCGATTATAATCAACTTTAGGTTTTTGATATTAATTTATAATAATATAATATGATGTACATATCGAGTTTCGTTATACATGAGATTATCTGTTCAATGTTTTTTATAATTGGTTCAATTTGATTTCAAACACGTCGTTTTATTATTTGCTGTCAATCTATATTTAATGCAATCGTTTTTTTTTTTCACTTTTATTCGTACATCCTATCATGTTGCCAAAATTTTTTTTCATATTGATAACTGTATTGACGTTGCTTGTTAGTTTATTTGTCAATGGCGACAGTAAATTCAGTAATCCACATTTTATTGGTAATCGTAGTGTTATAACACATTTAATGGAATGGAAATATGATGATATTGGTGATGAATGTGAACGTTTTCTTGGTCCATATGGTTATGGTGGTGTACAAGTTTCACCGGTAAATGAACATGCCATTATGGATGGCCGACCTTGGTATGAACGGTATCAACCAGTTAGTTATGATATACACACACGTAGTGGTGATGAACAACAATTTCGTCGTATGGTACAACGTTGTAATAAAGCCGGTGTCCGTATATATGTTGATATTGTATTAAATCACATGACCGGTGGTCAATCAGGTAAATAAGTTTTTCTTTTGTATTGAAATTATTCGCTTGATTTTTATCAAATCTTCAAACATTATTTTTTTCATTATGAAAAAAGGCCTAGGAACAAATGGACATCATTATGATGGTGTAGCTATGCAATATCCTGGAGTACCGTTTGGACCAAATGATTTTCACGGACACGAAACATGTCCAACAAATGATTTAGAAATTCACAATTATTCCAATCGAATTGAGGCTCGAAATTGCCGTTTGGTGGGTTTGCGAGATTTGAAACAACAATCTGAATATGTTAAACAGAAACAAGTCGATTTTCTCAATCATTTGATTGATATTGGCGTTGCTGGATTTCGTTCGGATGCTTCCACGCATCAATGGCCCGATGATCTCCGATCCATTTATTCTCGACTACATAATTTAAACAATGAATTTTTTACAGAAAATTCTCACCCATTTATTTATCACGAGACTATTTATTATGGTGGCAATGGAATTAATTCAAATGAATACACATCGTTGGGACGCATCATCGAATTTCGTTTCTATAAAGAGATTACTAACGTTTTTCGCAATAACAATCAGTTAAGATGGTTACGAAATTTCGGTACAGAATGGGGATTGGTTCCCAGTGGAGATGCATTGGTTATGATTGATAGCCATGATTTACGTGTTGGTCACACTGGACAATTGGGTTTCAACATAAATTGTTTTGAAGCACGATTGTTGAAAGCGGCTACAGCATTCATGCTTGCATGGAATTATGGCATCCCAAGAGTGATGAGCAGTTATTTCTGGGATCAGATTATAAGAGTATATATACACTATATTTTTCAACAATACTTTTGCTTTGATAAATGATAACACTTGTATTTTTATGCGAAAACAATAGGACGGAAAAGATGTCAACGATTGGGTTGGTCCTCCTACCGATCAACATGGTAATATTCTTTCGGTCCATCCAAATCCGGATATGACTTGTAATCATGAATGGATATGTGAACATCGTTGGCGTGAAATATACAATATGGTTAAATTTAAATTGATTGCTGGTCAAGAACCTGTAAATAATTGGTGGGATAATGGTGATAATCAAATAGCATTTAGTCGTGGTAATCGTGCATTTATTGCCATTAATTTACAAAAAAATGGCAATGATCATGATAAAAATCTTCAAAAACGATTACAGACCGGCTTGCCGCCTGGAATCTATTGTGATATAATAAGTGGCAATCTTATCAATAATAGATGTATGGGTAAATCTATTCAAGTTGATAAGAATGGCCTATCCGATATCTATGTTGGCCACGATGAATTTGATGCATTTGTTGCCTATCACATTGGTGCTCGTGTGGAATCTTAATTTCCCAAGAGGATTTTTTTTCCCCACTTATTCAAGAATTTTGTCATATTCGTCTCACTCATCATCGTCTTTTTTTGGCAAGTTAAATGAATGGAATGACTTATGGTATTTTATGGTATGACAAAATACACATGAGAATTGAAATTTTTTTTTCTTTTACTCTTGATACAAAATGAAATGAATATAAAAAAAATTCCGTTATCAAATTCATCAATGGAATTCGTGGTTTTTTTATTTATATTTTTATTTTGTTGATTTTATATGTCGTTCTTTGTCTTTTTTTCATAGAATCGTATGAAGAGTTGTATGTAGAATAATCAAGAACTTTTTCCATCGAAACTTGATATAAAAAACATGATAAAAACAGATACATTGTGTAGTAATGATTGAAACCACATCAATCAGAATATTGAGATAGACAAGAAAATTAAATAGCAAAGTTTTTTTTAGCTAAGAACATGAAAAGACCGATTCATTGGAAAAACGATGATGATGATGATGATGTTCAATCTATATAGCAGGCCATTACTGAATCGATTTCACATTTATTCTTAACGAGTATTTGATGATGTTTGATGTTCAAACGGATTTTTTTTTCACGCAATATATTTGTGATGAATGCAATAATAGCAATGATTCCTTCATTCTGTTTATCTCCCACTCTCAATTCCAAATTAAAGTTTACAAGTTTCAACTTCATTTAACTATATAGAAAATAGCATCAAATCACGTGAATAATTACATTGATTCATCCATGGATATTCAAATTTTTTTTCTCACACATTTTCATTCTTGGATTCAAATTATATTTATTAATAGATTTTTAACTGAATTTGTTTATCTCATAAACATCAACACCCACGTCCATTCACAGACACACACACACACACACACACATACAAATGCATGAATTTCTAGAAAAAAACTAATAGACTAATGGAATTTCTAAGAAGAAAAGAAAACAGTTATGATAAGATGGTTGTTTTTTCTATTCATCATCATCATCATCATCATCATTATTTTCACACTGATTACAACCATGGTTAAACAGGATTTAATAATTTTATTTTTTTTCGATTAAATATAAATGCCTGAATATTATGAAAAAATAAATGTTATCGACACAATTACACAAAAAACCATTAGCCAACCAACCATTTACAAAACCAACCAATACACATATGAATAAATGATAAAAATATCCAAAGCCAATATAATGTTGATATAAATTGAATTTTCAGGCAATAAACCATACAGTCAATTAGACGACGAACAAATTTTTTTTTTGTTCTCTAGTTTCCATTGAAATCATCTTCATCACCATTGATTCGTTTGTATTTTTTTTTTGTCCAAAACATACAAAAAAAAATCAAAATACCACACAATATAAAAAAAAGACATTTGTCATTGATAGTATCATTGCACCTCCGAAAGAAAGAATGAAAATGTTTCGTCATTAAATCGGAAATCGAAATCGACAAACGAATATTTGGGTGAGAATTACATATTACGTTCATACATACATGTTTCCGTTGAAAACATTTCCGTTTTAATGAAAAAAATTTTATTAATAATAAAATGAAACTTTTTTTTATCATCTGTAAACATGAACATATTGAATATGAAATATATCATATAGAGTACTATAGAGTTTAATGAATGAAAAGAAAAAAAAATTTATTTAATTATATGAAAAATTATCGTTAATCAGATTTCGTTTTCATCTTCATCATCATCATCGTTTCTACATATTTTTTTCAGCAACATAAAAAGATTCGTATAGAGACAAAAAACGTTGTGAATATTTTTCCATTATAAATTGATTAATTAATTACAGGTCTATCAATGATCATTTTATTTTCATTATTTCTACTTCTATTCATCATCGTTATTATTATTATTATTATTGCCATAATATTCTCAACATCATTCCATAATTATAACGATTGTCAAAAAATTGAAGAACCAATAAATTGCAATAATAATGATAATAATAATATTGATAATGATGAAACTATGTCATCAAAAATAACCAAAAATCATTATCAAAAACAAAAAGAAGAAATGATGATGCCAACATCTTTGACGATAGGCGACCACCACCACCATCAACAACAACAACTAATGAATCAATTCGATCCAAATAATCATGATGATGATGGAATACATCGACCTCATCATAAACGATTTTCAAACAACTTATCAAATGATGAAAATAACGATCATTTTACTCAAAACGTTTTAGCCAATAAACTAGATCAATTTGATGATAAAAATAATAATCATAAAACAAACAAACGGAATGCAATTTATTTTGCCCAAAGGTAAGAATTGTGTATGAAGAAAAAAAAATATTGTTAGGCCTAAAATCATATTCATGGATGAATGAATGAATGAATCTGATTTCAGGTTATTTATTCTAGTCTACTTTAACATCGTCACAAATGATGATTTGATTCTTTTCAATTTTCCGAAATTTTTTCTTTATTTTTCAGTTCAATGAATCTTTTCGGCTACTTTTTTTTGTAATTTCTCATTTTCAGTTACTATTTGATTTTGACATTGGAACATTTTCGTAATATTCGATTATTTTATGGACAATAGAAAAAATTCTTCAGGTTTTTATTTACAATTCGGTTGCCCCATTGCCCCCAAAAAGCCACTTGACCGAATTCTGGTTTTTTAATCTACTTTTTCATAATGATTTTGATGTTATCTATTCGAATTTAAGAATTCTCATCATTCGAACTGCTCGAACCAATCTGATTATTCTTTTTTCTCGTCTTGATTTTTTTTAATTAGATCAATTAATTGTGGACCAGATAAATTTACACAAGCAGATTTATCATCATCAGAATTGAAAATGTTCACCATTTCATTATCATCATCACATGATGATGATACTGATAATGAGAAGGGAGAAAAAAAAGCTGATGATTCACAAGAAAATCTAATTAGCCGAGAAAAATTTGCCAATGACAATGTAATAGATAATGAAGATGCAGAAAAGGTTTGTTTGCATGAAATGCGGAAAAAACTGACAAAATTTAAATTTTAAATTTTCTTTTTCACTCAAATTGAAATGTCAATTTCTGGTTTTCAATCATCAATTTCCGATGCGTTCTTTTTCATTTTTTCAATCATTTTTTGTTCCATTTACTTTCTGGATCGTTCCATTCCATCGAAACAATATTCATTAATGAATATATGAAACTCATACCATGACATGAATACCAGACAATGATGATGATCAATCTTAATGAAGCTCATGGTGATGGTAATATTTATGAATGCAATGAAGAAAAATTCAAAATCACGAATTTAAATTCAAAAAACTTATCGTCATTAGTCGAGTTAGAAAAAATAACTATACAACCTGAGGCTGGAACAGAGAATCATCGACGCATACATTATGGTGATTGTATAAATCAAAACAAAAATTCAAATAAATTCGTTATTGATACAACGAATAATAATAATAAAAATGATGATGATGATGATAAAGACAAAAAAGCAATAATTGATGAAAATGACAATAATGATTCTATGTTGAAGATTCTTGAATTAAAATCAACTATAAAATCATTGCCAAATCAAATAATAATGTTGAATTCAAATCCAAACAATTCAATAGAGATGAATGATAATAAGAAAGCAAATAGAGATAACTTTAATCTTGCTAGCATACGACAAAGTATCGACAAATCTTGTTTGTCTGATGATGAATTGAATGTAGATGAAATTAAACAAATAAAATCTAATATTGGATATGGAAACGATGTACAAAAATTGAATAAAGAGATTGTGCGTTTGAGGTTTGTTAAATTAAATACTTATTATGAGTGCATTGAGCAATTCTAATCACTGATATTTGCTATAAACCCATTCAACAGAAATATCAATGCTAAACTTCAACAGACAAATGGTTCATTACAGGAACAGATATTTGATATATTGAAAGAGGAATCCATATTAAATTTGATTGCTAACGAACAACGACAATCTACTAAATCATCATTATCGAAGCCATCATTTAATAATGTTGACAATTTTATTTCGAATCAAATGATATTTTCGATGAAATCATCATCAGCTGATTGTGTTGTTGATAAAACTAATAATCATTGTACCAATAGATCCAATAGTTTAGGGCGACAAACGAATGCATCGATCATTGGTCGACTATTTACTGGCGTTGAACCAATCAATATTGCAAAAATTCGTCGCCGATTATTTAGTTTCCATCAACGAGATGCATTTCGTTCGGATTTGGTGCAATCATTGCCAACTAAACTTAATGAATCCAGAAATATGATTCCAAATCAAGATTCGAAAATTGCCAAAATTTTACATTTCAACAACATCAAAAATCAAGAAAAACGACTTATGATTTCTCGAAATTTTAGTCATCAAAATTGGCATCATCATGATATGTGTAAAAATCAGGATAAATTGAAGACAAACAATTCCCATAAGAATCTGCAATCTACATCAACTAATAACAGCGAAAAACTTAGACCACATAAGCACGGTTGCACAATGATTCCGTTCCAAAGACAAATGTCATTCGATGTTGATGATGAAGACAAAGATCAGGATAAAATTAAAAAATGCTTCCATCATCAAAATTCTCATTTCAAACATTCCATGAAGACATCGATAAACGAATCATTAATTCATAATATGCCGAATACTCAAGTTTATCATCATTGTTATTCATTATGTCAACATCAACATCATCATCATAAACAACGACAACAAAAACGTAATAATCCATTTGATGATAGCCATTACGTTGATTATAATAGCAATTGTATCAATTGTTTCAATGACGATAAAACTGTTGATGATATCTATAGTTTCAATAAATCACTTAATAATGACAAGAAAAATAGCCTTAAGCGTGAAAATAATTGTAATCATTGTCGTGATCGTCATTCACTTTGTGATAAAAATATTCGGAATGATGTCATTGCTCGTAATATTAATGATGATGATGTGGATAACAATAGAAAGTCAAATGATGAAAAAAGTGATGGCAAGTTTATCTAGAATTAAAAAAAAAATATTATTTACGATTATTATTATTAATAACAATCAACAAATATTGATTCTTACATTTTTCTATAGTGATAAAAGTGAAACATTCGATTCTTGATCGTTATTGTGATGTCGATGAGCATTTTATTTTTTGTCATAGAAAAATTACGATCGGTGAAAATGACTGCATTGGTAAGATAATGAAAATTATTTTTATGTTTTTTTTTCTTTTATTTACTTACCATTGCTTACCCTTATTTACTTACCATCTAAATTAAATACTTAAAAATAGTTCGTATTCAAACAAGGCCCCAAAGACAACCGCCATCAAAACAAACACTTAAATTAATAATGATTGGTGATTCGACTGTGGGTAAAACATCGCTTATAAATCGAATTCGTACCGGGACATTCAAATCTGATCCATTTCCGACTATTGGTATTGATTTTCAGGTGAAAATAATAATAATTAATTGTTTCAATGTTGAAATTATCATTATGATATTGATTTATTCCAAAGACCGTACAAGTTAAAGTGGATAATGAATTTTATGATCTTCAGCTATGGGATACTGCTGGTCAAGAACGTTATCATTCAATTACCAGAAATTATTACCGTCGTGTTGATGCTATTTGTATGGTATTTGACATTACAAAAGAGCAAACATTCCTTAACGTACGAAACTGGCTTACTTCAATCGAAGATACTGTTTTCGAACCGATTCCATTGCTTTTGATTGGAAACAAATGTGATCTTCGTTACATTAACAATAAAGATGATAAATTAAGTTTCATAACTCGACAATCAGGCATACGTTTGGCTGATGAAATTGGACCGAATTGTATATTTATAGAGACTAGTTGCAAAACTGGTTTTGATGTCGATAATACAATAATTATTGCAACCAAAATGATTATTGCGAAACAAAATCAAAAGAATAATTGTAAAGTTAATGGTGGCATAAATGTAACACCGAAATCGAATTATACCAAGAAATGTTGTTGATATTAAATTAAATCCTATTTGTATCATTGAACATAATAATTTATTCACAAAAACAGAATATTCTTATCATCAATCAGAAAAAGCTAAAAAAGTTGAATTAGTTATCGTAAACATCAGTGGATGATGGTAATAACAACCACATGTTGATAATTTCAAGTTTTTGAGCAGTGGCGCCTTCTAGGTAGCCAACCTAAGAATTTTTTAACAAAAAAAGATTTTTATTCAACAAAATACAAGAATATCCAAACTATAGAATTGTTAAAAAATTTTTTTAAAATCGTTGCTGTTAAATCAAACCATTGCACCAAAGAATAGAGAGACAGAAGATTTTTTTTCCGGTTATAAAAATGAAATTTTGTCAGTGAATAAAAATAAAAATTTAGCAGATTTATGATTGAATACAAATGTATGGCTCATATGGATATTTGATGTATAGTAAATTCATTATGACAAGACAATCCTGGTATTGTAGCATTTGATGGTGCTAATGTCCCATGATGATATAATATACGATCAGCACGAGTTCGTCGATTTTGATAAGGATTAGATTTGATCCATAATACTAAAAATGCTAGTAAACGATAGACGATGATATTGACAACCAGCATTAGTATAGAAAAAAATAAATCATCTTCTTCATGGGTTAGATGTAATTTATACAATATGACTTGTATTTGTTTTCGACCACATCGACCAAATCCATATTCTAACAAAATTAAAGCTTCAAATACGAAACGAAATGGTGATAAACAAGATAGGAACTGGTAAATATAATGCAAACGATGTACAGGTGATGTTGAATTGCTAAGCATTACGGCAAAAGTACTTAAACCAACAAAATAAGTTATAAGTGTAGTGAAATCACCGGTAGCTAAAATTGATAATAAATATCCAGCACCTTGTAAAGCCATTGCACCCAATATGAATAAGGCGACAATCCAAAAGTAGATACGTGGACGAACGACTTCATAGATATTAATTTCATAAGCAAATAGAAAAGCTATCAAAAACAAGGGCAATATTTCTATGGAAATTTTCATCACATAAAATGCACCAGTGCTATACCAGCCTAGATATCGAAAATGAAATAAAATCAAAAAATAGTCATGAAATATCGTGATATTGTCTTACCATTACGATGTTCATTAAGAAAATAAACGAAATCTTTGGAGAACATTAAAGCACTCTGAAGCATAATCAAATTGAGAAACATATTCAAATGAGTAACAGTATAGGCGAAATTTGTTCGTAAATCCGATTCATCTGTTAGTTGTTGTTCAGTACGAGCACAAGTATTATTAAAATCATCTTCAAGATTGATACAACCTGAAGGCAAAGCAATCTTAGGATCAAATATGAGGCCCATAATTAAACCATCAATCAATAAACATAATGGAAAGATTAATAAATGTATCCATTGGAATCCACGAATAAAATAACAATAACGAATGATTAATATCCAAATCGAATGTATTGAGAATCGTACACGATTATTTGGTATGCCATCCAATACCAATTGTGTTTCTTCATTCAGGTTGTAAGAATTTTTGTCAAGAATTTTTGTCTTAGTTGCTTGTACTAGATTTTTTACCTGAAAATTATTGTGGTCGAGACAAGAATATTTTATTAATTCTTCAATGGGAAACAAATCTTTATGAACATCATTGCTGGCTGAATGTTGTGATAAATGTTGCCGTATTTCATTTGGATGTCCGGAATAGACACAAACACCACCTTTGGCTAGAACATAAACATCATCAAACATCATTAAGACATCAGTATTCGGTTGATGAATGGAGGTAATAATGCAGAGATTATGTAAACGTGCCAATTTTCGTAAACAAGCTGTGACGACTACGGATGAATTTGAATCCAATCCACTAGTAGGTTCATCAATACAGATCAGATTTGGCATTCGTAAAGATGTTAATTCAATGCCTAAAGCTAGACGTTTTCGCTGACCACCAGAACATCGATCGACCATCGTGTCTCTGGCTTCATAAAGATCTAATTCATTCAGGATATTCAATGAAATACTTTCATGATCCACGTGTTTTCCTTCGGAAACATTTTTCAGTCGTGAAGCAAAAATCAATAATTGTTTGGCTGTCATTCCGGGCATCAGATGACCAGAAACTTCTTGTGTGATATAACAGGTTTTTGTTGGTGTGAATTTGCTTAGATAAAATTCACTTTCAACATTCAATCGAGTCTTTGATCGACCATTCAACACTTTTAACAGTGACGTTTTCCCAGCACCAGATGGTCCCATTAAAGCATTTAATGTACCAAATCGGAATTGTCCGTTTAAATCACGAAGAATTAGTTTCGATTCGTGAATATCCTGAACTGATCGAATTTCATGAATGGATTTTGATGCAAATAATGTAACCGATCGCCATGCAATCATAATTTTTTCACGTGAAAAATTTTCAAATTCAATTTCATCATCATTTTTAGTACGAGATATTCTATCCATATCAATTTCAAGTTTTTTAGGTGAATCAAAAATCTCCGAATAATATATAGGCAACAAATCGGCATCATGATTAGATTGGATGAATGTTTTTCGATGAATTCGCAAGCTGAAACGAATAATCATTATCAAAAATGTTACAATACGAATATAGGCAATAATGATGAGCGTTCTTTGTAATTCGTTATATACGGTCAATGGATTGGTACCGAAATCTTCTAAAACAAATGATGTTTCTGTTTCTTGATCGCATCGATCTATTCCATAAAAGGCATAGATCAATCCATTTGTTATCGGTTTGATTGGTATAATTTCTGACATAATTTCTAGCACCGAGTTACCGTGTTCAAAAAAGAACATATAACCGGTACAGAATGTCATAGCGTTCATAACCGTAAGACCACCAAGAATAGCCACTTCTAAATATCCCAATGATAATAAGCTGAGAATATGTCCACTACTTTGTAGATATATGGCATATATCCAGATAAAATATACAAAATGTCCAAATCGAAACCAATTGATACGATTTTCATCCACATAGCTATGATCGACAAAGAAATAGATTGATGCAGTCATATAAACAGCCATTATGGTTATTTCAACAAGACGAACAATGACAAATGACCAATAGAAAACACCCATACTATACCATTCTGTGGACAAATTTTTATCAGAATCATGTTTAGGATTCATGAGAAAACTTACGATTACGATGTTCATTATTGAAAACTTTTAAAATTGGTATGAATGAAATGCTCGATATGCATATAATGCCCATGCCAATAATTGCAATCATATAAGCTTGATAAATCTTATATTGATCACTAAAAAACTGGGCATTTAAACGATCACGACAAGTAAAATTATGCATTGATTCTTCATCCATATTCAATGTATAACAAGTTTCTGCCTGAACCATTCGTTGATCAAACAATGAAGCCGTAATTAGAAAAATAAACGCATAGAATGCTGCCTGAAAAATTAACGTTCGATATTCGGCAATGAATACAATATTAAACATTCGACATAATTGCAGATAAAAATCAGTGAGGGAAAATATTTGATGATCATTTTTGACACCTTTCTGCATAAATTGTAACGTTGTAAATGAAAATTTCTCATTACCCATTTGCTCTTGTTCTTCAAGCAAAGTTTTATTTGCCAACAGTCGTACATTCTTATCATTAATACCTAGATTTAGATTTTATTTTGGTAAAAAAAAAATGTATAAATGATTAGAGAACATACCTTGACAAGCAATTTTTAGGTAAACTTCAACAGGTGGCTGTTCCAAATCTTCCAGCATTTGTACAATCTCAGGATCAACGATTGTTTGTTTGAGCTTTGGGCGAAGATTTTCTGGTGAATCGGAATAAATGCATACACCACCTTTAGCCAGAATATATATTTTGTCAAATAAGGCCATTATTTCCGAACTAGGTGCATGAATCGAACATAAAATTGTCATTCGACTTTTGATTATTAATCGTCGAAGACATTGCATAACCAACAATGCTGCATGACTATCCAAACCAGTAGTCGGTTCATCAATAAATAAAAATGTTGGTTTATTGAGTGACATTAATTCTTGTGCAATGGCGATACGACGTTGTTCACCACCGGAACAATTTTCAAATGTATTATCCAATATAGTTTCATCTAGAAGTAATTCTTTCAAGACAGCTTGTGTATGTTGACAGAATCGATTTTTTTGTCCAGGATTTTTGAAACAAAATGCATAGTACAATACTTGGCGAACTGTCATACGACCAATAATTGTTTCATGTACGTGTTGTTGAATGAAACGAATTGAGCGACTTGATGATTCTCCAAAATAAATTTCCGAATCTTCACTTAAACCTGAATATAATGCACCATTCAGACAATTCAATAATGTAGTTTTGCCAGCACCACTTGGGCCAAGAAACCCATTCAAGCTATTAAAATGTAAATGGCCATTCAAACGATTAATAATAATTTGTCGATCACCACAACAATCGAAACCCAACACATTATTTGCAATTTCATAGCGAAGATTTTTCCATACAATCGAAACATCATTTATTGCCGGTAATTTCGGTTTCTCGTTATTATTGATCGATATTGATTCGAAAGTCGGATTCGTATAAGATGATGATATTGGAGTTTGTCGTTGATGTTTTTCCTTCATGGTTGTTTGAATCTGAATGAAATTAATATCTGTTTATTATTTTTTGTAGTAAAGGTTCAGAAAAAAAAACTTCACACTTGCGTGTTTAAGAAAAAGCAATAAAAAGGAACCCTCACTGAATGATTGATGCAAGAATCTATGATAGTTAGTGTATGCTGATTTTTCATGTAATCGTTTATAAACATTGATGTGAATAAATGTGTCCAACATTTGTTCAGCATTCAAGTTTAAGGAAAAAACATAATAACCATATAGATATCTATCTCTTTAAGATATTATATTAAGCTGGTTATATACACAAACAAATAATATTATGGATAGATGTCACAAAAAAAAATTTTTTTGACATTTTTTATAATGTTTTTTTTACTTTCTTGTTAGAAAAAAAATAACAAAAACACATCAATATATAAGCAATCTATCTAAATGTTTATGTCGCTTATTTTCATAATTGATTTATGTATATGTAATATGTATTTGAATAAAAGTTTTTTAGTTTTATTTTGTTTTTATAATCATAGTTCTGATGTTTTAAACATATCATAAATTGAATGTTTTACCATTCATTTGTATTCAATAATGATTTAATGAATATTATTAATGACCTGATGAATGTTTAGATAAGACGATTCCAATTGATTGGAATGATAGTAGTAAAATAATGAATTTTAAAATTGATCATATCTACTTCTGGAGAAGAAGCTATTGAATATATTCTGAATTATCAAACACCGTGTGAAGCATTAAAAATTTTATGATAAAGATATGATAAAGTCAGATTTCACGCTATTTTGATGTTGGAAAAAAAATCCGCCGAATTTCATCTGTATAAAGAAATAATGGTTTCTATAGAAAAAATTCGATATTTTTCGAATTGATTATTGTAATACGTGTAATACACGTGATTTTCATTTTGTGTCCATCTGTGAGTTTGCATTTGATGATGAAATCTTGCCTGAAGACTGCATTCATTCGAATTTATTTTTTCAGTGTTTTTTTGTTTTCATCATCATCATCATCATTAAAATTATACTTTTCCCATTTTGACTAATTACATCCAAAACATCATTATCAAACACAAACTTTCTTTTTTTTAATAACAACATTGTAATGAAACAATTTAACAATAACAATTATTTTTAATAGTTTATTTTCTTACCTGAATGACGTTAAGGAAACTTTCATGTTATTTTACCCTAATGGTTTACCATCTATTTTATCAACCAACAAGTATAATACAATCTTCTTAACAAATCATGGACCATTCAAGAAATTCCTCAATCAAATCAATCCTGCTAAATATCGATGAATGATAAAAAAAATGATGAAATTTTCAAAAGTTGGATTCACATATAAGATGATGATAATGGAGTTTGTAGTTGATGCATGTTCATAATCATAATCTTTCATGGTTGTTGGAATCTGAATGAAATTAATATATTTGTTTATTTTTTGATAAAGGTTCAGAGAAAAAGTTCACACTTGTGTGTTCAAGACAAACAATAAAAAAGAACCCTAACTGAATGATTGATGAAAGAATCTATGCTGATTTTTTCCATGTGAACGTTTTCAAACATCGATGTGGAAGAAATTTGCAATATTCGTTCATCATTCAAGTTTAATGAAAAAACATGATAACCAATATAGATATTTTTAAGCTGGTATAAAAACAAATATGATATGGATAGATGTCACAAAGATAAATTTGAACATTTTTTTTTGTTTTTTACTTTCTTTCTTGAATATCATTTATCCACAATCGAACAATATTAAAATAATGAGATTCGATTTATTAACTCTTACAGTTCAATGCCATCATTTAACGCATTGAGTCTAAATTTATAGTGTGAATTTACAAAGAAGGCGAATAAACCAGTTTAAAAACAAAAGTAAAAAAAAAATAATGATAAAATTCTAATATGGAATTTTTTTTAGTCTTATTCTGGAGTAAAAATTTAAACTTTAATTATTATCTCCATACTAAGAAAATCTGGTTTTTTTCATTTTGTTAATTGACAACTATTCTACATTAATTTAAGGGTTATGATAAACGAACTTATACACATATATAAATTGGCTGGCCAATGATGTTTGCTCATCCATCGATATCGGCATAACCATTTTCAATTAAATAATCGCCAACATTAATATCGTCAACGATTAGTGAACATTTTAAGAAATGTTTCTCATGATTAAATTCCATGGTTATAACTTCTGCTTTCTGTTCACAAATTTTTTGTTGCAATTCCATAGTGGTTTCCATATTCCATTCTTCATTATTTTTTGGCACAACACCTATAGTAAAAAAAAGAATTTTTAATTAAATAAAAAAATCTATTATTGACATTAATAATTTATACCGTAAAGGGAGGCACGAACAGATCGTGCTGGAAATGTAGCAAGATCTTCTGGGATTTTATACAAATGTGTTGACTTGTAGAAAGCATCCATTCCTTTATCCATTTCAAAACAATTGTATTCATTTGTCTTATCATCAAATGATAGTATGAATACGCGAATATATTTATTACGATGATGATCAGCGATAGCACCGTATACATGTCCAATTTTAGGAGCGCTAATTCTTTGAATTGAATTACTGGTCATATAAGATTGTAATTTTGCTTTGAATTTTTGATAATCCGGATCGGCAATGAATTTTAAATAGAAATCATTTGGTGATGTCACCTGTTTAACTTTCATAACGAATTGAGCATATGATTCCCAAAGTAAAGGATGAACAATCATTATGGATGATGATGATATAATTGATTCTGAAAGATGGCCATCAATGCCTTTTTCAGATGATTTAACATTTGAATTTGTGGCGCCGTTTTTAGTAACGACCATTTCAGTCTTAGAATTTATCTTTGATTTGATAAATTTTGCCAAATCAATAATTTGATCATGATGTTTACAAAAGACATTAACTTTACATTGGTCCATATTTTTTGAAAATGAAATCCAAAAATCACTACTTGATAGAACAATTTTCTGTACAGCAAGATTGAATTCTGATTTTTCCGGATGATGTTCAATCATCTGATAATCTGCATCATCTAATCGAAGACCAAATTGAAATCCTTGAATTGGTAATTTCAGAAATTCAGGATTATCATTCAAAATTAAATCATTTTTATCGGCAATGTATTCATATCCAAGGTCCAGAAATAATACGCGATACTGAAATATACAAATGCTAACGATAATTACCATAAATATCATATTACAAACCTTTCGACCTGCAAATAAGTCAAGTATTTTCGCACGTAAATACAAATCATAATGATGATCATGATATATAAAAAGATTTTTTATCAATTGTTCATTGCTTGCTTTTTCAATAAAAACCATTTCATTCCAAGATTTAACACAGTAATATGCATGCATATCACTCGATAATTGAGCAAAGGAATCCTTGAATTAAAAAGATTATATTAATCTGTAATCAGGAATTATTCATATTCATATTTATAATGGTTAAACATACTCGATATTTTTTGAATTGAACAAATATTTCATTATAGTTTAAATATTTAGTGATGACACAAGGGATTTTTTGATCATCAGGATTCGGAGATTCTGGAATAGTTTCTTGAAATAAACAAGATAAATTTAATTCTGATAACATTTTGTAAAATAAAATTTATCTTGAATGTAGAGCAGAGTCAATCTAAATTTTAATAAAGATGAAAGAAAGATGATGTGAGTCAATTAATTAATGAAACATTAATGATGATGATGATGATGATTCGCAAAAACAAATTTTTTTTTATTACGACTCATTAAATTTTGTCCCGTACATGAATAACGTGCAAAAATTCCATGGAAAATTTCTAATGGCAGTAAACATTTTTTTTTTGTTTCAAAAGCAATAAAAATAAAAAATTATTCGAAGCTCGGTATGATTGAATTGGAATCAAAATTAAGGTAGGTTAACCTTTTGTATTTTTACTATTTAGTCAATTAAATGGATCATTGCTTTCAACGATGATGTATTGATTTATTTGTTTCATTAAATCAATCGTTATGATCTTTGAGTCGATTTTTGTAAATGTTTATCTGGATCAATTATACAGCTATATTGATATATAGAATTTTTTATTTTATAACAAAAATAAAGACTTCAATCAACCTGAATATCAATCGATATATTTTGAAACCTTAAAATGAAAAAAAAAGAAAAAGATGAGCAAGATGAAAAACAAAGCACCATTCATAAGATTTGAAACGAGAATAGATCTTGTCATGGTAACGGTTTTTTTCTATGTGTTTAACCGCATGATAATCACTATAGAGTCTATGGCATTGACGACCGAGATTCGATCGATTTTGACATTGAAATTTTTTTCATAACAATTTTAGAACTTATTATTATATTCACATTATAGTTGGTTAGAATGAAAACGAAATAATGAGTCGTAGTTCTAAATTATCAAAATCAGTCAATCAATCGATACATTTGTTTGATGAAAAATCTTCCATCATATCATTGCCAAAAATCAAAGTGATACCATTACCAGAACCTATTGGCCATCATGAACCATTTCTAGATGGGATAATTCGAAAAATGTCCGGCGTTTCAAATCTCGAAGATTTTGATTCGATACTTCGAATGAAAATGTTACAGAAACGAAAACAAAATCGATTTTGGCGATTTTTGAAATTAATCATAGAAATCACAATCATTTCTACTATTGTACTGTTAACTTTATATTCTTATTTGTTTTTCGATCCAATGTTCAATAATGGTTTGTTTTTATTTTTTTTCCTTATAATAATTTGTAAATAACCATATAGATTTTTATTCTATATATACTTATAGCTATCGAGTCAGAGTTGAACTTTGATCAAAATTCTCGAATGGCCATCATGTTGCAAAATCCATCATTACCTTATACAATTAAATACTATCTGTTTGGATTAAAAAATGCTCATGATTTTCTTCGTGGCCAACGGCCAGTTTTAGTTGAATATGGACCATTTGTTTACAGGTAAGTTTTCTTAATTTTACTATCTGAATGTATTCATAATATTCGATTTTGATCTTTGATACAAGGGTGAATACAAAACGTACAATTAATAAATGGAAATCCCAAACCGTTGAATTCACGGAACAAGCATTTTTTCATTTTGATCCAGATCATTCATTACCATTGGAAACCGAGTTAACTGTACTCAATTATCCTCTTTTGACAGCTTTATATATGGTGAAATCAATGATGAAAGAGAATTCTATTTTAGGATTCTTAAGTCCAGTTGTTCAAAATGTTGTAGCGAATGTAATCCGATCTAGTGGCGAGAAGATTATTGTACAGCGAAAAGCACTTGATCTACTCGATGGTCATCGAGTAAAGTTCTTAAAAAATGTTCAACGTATTTTGAAACCATTGAAAGCTTTGGGAATTACATTCAATTCAGAATTGGAAAATATGGACCTTGAACATTATTCGTACGGATTCGGGCCACAAAATTCTGGTCAAAAATCAGAATTATATGAACATTTTCGTCATACAAAAAGTGGTCATTTATTTGATGGCATTTACAAAGTGGCTGGTAAAAGAAAACTGAAAGATTTCCGTCCGCCATGTAATGAGATGAATGGTAGTTCTGGTTTATATTTTGGAATGCATTTGACAGCTCCAGAAATTTCATTTTTCAATCATAATGTATGTCGAAAAATTCGTCTGATAAAAAACCAGTAAGCATAGAAACAAATTCAGACCATTATTCGATTAATGAGATTTTTTCATTTCTCTATAGCACACATTATCATCAATCGTTAATCAAAGTTGTACGTTATTCTGTCGATATTCAATTGTTTAATTCTACAAATAAATTGAATCGATGTTATTGTTTACAATCCAAATTATCCAAATGTCAAGGATGGATAGATACATCACCATGTCTTGGACAATTAAAAGTTGGTTCTTCTTTTCCACATTTTTATAATAGTTTAAGACGACAAGAAACCGTAAAAGGTTTACAGCCCGATTATTCTAAACATATTGGATATTTAGATGTAGAGCCAAATATCGGCATGCCAATCAATGGTCGTATTGCCATACAATTCAACATGCATGTTTCATCCATACCAATCATTGGACTAAAATCCATACGTAGTACAATGTTGCCAATGTTTTGGGCCGAACAATCCAATACAATTCAAACACCAATGATTTATTGGCTAATGATTATATCAATATGTTTTGATTACGGAAAACATTTTATTCTTTTTATTGGAACATTTATTACATTGATTTGGTTTTATCGATTTTTTAAACATTTATGATGATTTATTTTTGTAAAATTTTTATTTGCATAATTTATATATAATTTTTTTATATGTATAATTTGAACCAATTATTTGTGTTAATAAAAACAAAAAGTGTTTTTGCTAATTTGGAAGAAATTTCTTTCATTTTTATGCGAGATAAACTAGATAGGTTTTTATAAACAATCGAAAATAGCCAATTTAGTGATTGTATGTGAATTTGATTTAAAAATGATGACGATGATGATAATGATGATGATGAGACGACAACAAATTTTAATAAGACAAACTCGATAAATGAAAGATAAGTTGTTTATGTGATGATGATGATGATGACTGAATGATAATGAACAAACAAAAAAAATTGGAAAAAATTAACGAAATCAATCTAATAGACATCATGTGTATAGCTTTGGCTTTTATCATGATCATCATAGGATTCTTCTTTGACCACAGTCAACGGTAATGGTTCTTTATGTACGGAATGTTCTTTTTTGATCGTAATTCTGTTTTGTGAATATAATACATTATTATTTTTTTTTTTGTTGGCAAAGAAAATGAAAATCAATTATGAGTTTTTTAAAATTAGATCGATAATGAAAAAAAAAAAAAAAAAAACTTACGGTATTGGTAGTGGTAATGGCAAAGGTAATGGGGCAATTATCCTTTTTCGATTCAATAATGATAATAAGAATAATAGAAGCATACGTTTCTTTTGTTTACCAGCTTCAACTTCTTGTAATGATAATAATAATGTGACTATCATTATAGCCATGAATAGAATGTATACGAAACGCATTTTTTTTGTTAGTGTTTTTCGGGTTTTTGTCTGCGTTTAAAAACACGGATGAACAAACAAACAAACAAACGAATAAAAAAGACAAAAAATTTTTAACAAAACACACAACGTATGGACTAAATGATAAATTGTTAATATAATCAAGATCCATGATTTTTGAAACACTTTTATACTTTCCGAAAAAACCGGATATTCATAAACATCATTTGCTACTCATTTTTCTGAAATATTTTGTTTCTCTGTTCCACCTGTTGAACATAAACAGTGTTTTCTTTACTCTTCCACAATTTTCGACTCTTTTACGATTTAACTATAATTATTTTCTAGTGTTTTGTATAAAGGTAACTTTTTTCGTCGCTAAATTTATCCTCAATTTTCTTGGTGAATTTTATCCGAATGCGGAAAGAAAAATCACTATTCGGTAGTTGTTTATTAACATGACATATCGATATTCACTTATCATCTTCATAATCATAACCATCAATGATGATTTCATTTGTCACAAACGTGAACGATTTTAAATTTCAATTCAACACTTGGATGAATAAAATTTCCAAATCTTGATAATTTTTTTTTGTTCATATTTCCAATTCAAAGAAACACGTACCATCGAGTTAATCAAATATATACATTATTATGGCCATAAACTAGGTTAAGGTTAAAAATTGTTGTGAAAACCATTTCATTTATTAACCACACCATATTTTTTTTTTTGCTATCAACAATATTGATCGAAAATGTTTTTTCGTCGTTCATTTCAATTCGAATCATTCCAGCCCATCGTATTTGTGTCTGAAACATATCCGACATGTTTGGTTCATACATAATTCATTCACAATTTCTAGTTTTTTTTGTGATCATTGATATCAGTCACATCATTGATCATCATCAGCATCATCATTGAAGACCAAAATTAAATTTGCTAGTTTTCCGTATTTTTCATCTAAATATTTTTGTTTATTTACTAAAGATAAAAATTGGAATCACATTGATTTTTCACGTACTACTACTGACTACTGACCACTGCATGGTTTAGTTATATAGATTAATCAATGAATAAACTATTAATAGAATCAAAATCAAGTAAGGAAGAAAAAAAGAAGATTATCTTCAAGAAAAAAAAATTGAAAGTGTGTTTTTACCACCAAACCAAAACACATTTATCACAATCCACAAATGTTCTACTTATAGAAATTTAAGGAAATACAAATCCTTATGATGATTAGGTGGTTGCAATGAATGGGCAAAACTATAAATGTTTTGTGTGTTTGTTTGTTTGTTTGTTTTTTTTGTATGGCATCAATTAAAATGACGATGTCAGATACGATAAATGATGATGATGATGATGATGATGATAATGTTGATGGGAAAACCAAAATGGCTAGAAAAAAAAAAATAAAATAAATACTCACCGTCAAACATTTTTTTTATGAATATATTTTGTTTGTTTAAACTGTTGTTGTTGTTGTTGTTGTAAAATTTTTCAATGTTGATTCATTATTATTATTTATCTATTTATCATCGTTGAAAAGAAAAAAATTCAATGCATCATCATTTCACACATTTATAAATGACAATGTCAGATAATTTTTCTTTTTCTTTTTTTTCTTTTCTTCTGTATGATTTATCAACAACATTAAAAACCATGGATCATATTAAAGTTTCTCATGTAAATGATAATCAACAACAACATAGTATAGTAGTAAAAAAAGAATCACAAACACGTTTGTCATTGTGTGTAATATGCAAACAGTCCATAAAAATTCTTCATAATGAGAATCACCAACAAGTTGTAATCGATGATAATGTTGATGTTGATGGTGACAAAAGAATCGTTTGTCTTCAATGTCAGGTATGAGGAAAAGAAAAATTTTTTTTTATTCCAGTTGTCTTTTGTTTTTAAACATGAAATCAATTTATTTTCTTCAATTCAATATGACAGAAATTTTATAATGAATCTATTGAATTATCAATTCATTCTAAATTCAAATGTGTTTGTAATGATTCAAAACCTTTTGATCAATCACCATTGCATTGTGATTATTGTCGATTTAATAGATTAAATCAATTAGCATTTAATCGAAAACTCGAAAATAATTCATTAGAAACAAAAGGAATATCCGAATCACGATGTAAACGAATTGAAACCATAACCGGTGGATATGCAGGAAAACAATTGATGAATGGCCAGCAATCATATAGAATTTATCATGCAATGAATGATGATAATGTCGATACAGATAATGTAAAACAACAACCATCCGAAGAGCAACAACAAACAATGAAGCATAGAATCAATAATAACAATATTAAAACAATTAAAAAATTAATTTTTCTTTCACCAAATTCCTTATCGATGTTTCCATTTATTTCCCAAAAATCTGGTTCTCAGCAATCAAATGCATATGATTCTCACAATCCGATGATTATTGTTCCACAATCTAATCGAAATAAAAATCAACAGCTTCAACAATCATCTGCTAAAAGATTGTTGATACAAGCACCACAAAGTTGTAAAAATGTGAATTTATCACAGAAAAAATTTCAATCAACAACGGTGAACAACAAAAATGGTCCGAACAAAATTTCAAAATCATCCATTCGTTTGAATAAAAAGAATTTTGGACAGCAAAAAAATGCTGTCAAATATCGATTGTTAGCTAACAAGGTAAGTTTCACAAATTTTTATATTGAATGCTGAGAAATAATTTCCAGACATTTCAGACAGAAGAAAACAAACAATTAAATGGTCAGGCTGTTGTTGACGCTTCTATGGATAATGATAAATTTCAATCAAATCGATACACAAATTTTTCACTGGTTCAAAACCCTATTGATATGGATCGAAAATTGTCCGAAGCATTAGCCAGTCTTGATTCAAATCGTATTTCAAAATACCGTTGCCCTTTGGAAGAATTATTTCATAATTGGACATTTTTCATCGATCATATTAGTATGATTTATTGGTCTTGTTTTGGATCGAATGAATTAAGAATTGAATTATTCATCAAGAAATTCTGGTCATTTTTAAATGATTTTCTATGCTTATATCGTAGTGATCAAATTAATGATCATGCCGTGATTTCATTAATCAAATCCATAAACGATGAAACGATAATACATATCAATCAGATTTTGTTATTACATATTTGTTGGCTTAAATTTGGCCCATTTAACCATCAAGATCTTAAAACTAATTCACATCCTTGGTGGATATCCATCAAACAAGTTGTTACCAATATGGATAATGATCCAAATCAAATATCGAACAAAAAGTCAGTCTTATTGACTGAAGCATTGGATAATATTGGCGCCATTGCTGATCGTTTTCATGTGAACGATATTGAATTGGCATTAGTATCAACAATTCTTCTATTGAAACATTCGAATAATCAATCAGTAAAAATGATGAACAATGATAATGTTGCATGTCATGTATGTCATCGACCAATGTTTCGTTTACAACAATTATTTATGGCCATGTTGGAATTGTTTGTCGATGATCATCAACAATTAACCAATGTGAATGATTCTAATAATATGGCTGGATTATCAACTGCTGTTTATGCTGGTACCAGCAACAGCAACAGCAGCAGCAGCAGCAGCAGTAATGGCGGCCTCACACAATTAATGCTGTTTTTGTCACCAGAATTGGAATATTTTTTTGCTTTATTGAATGCTTGATTTGTTTTTTCGTCTCTATATACTTTGAAATGAAAAATAATAAAAATTTTGCAATTATAATCAATTCCATTTTTACCCTCATACGTAAAAGGTGAATTTCTGGATGATGTGAATTTGTTTACAAATTGATTTTTTATTTTCATTTCTAAATTTTCAGTTTCATCACCATCATCATCATTATGTTTTCGAGGATTTTTTTAATCATTCTAGTTACCTGTTCATCATGTTTGGCGGAATCAAACGTATATCCGGAGATTCGAACACCAACGAACATTATTGTAGGCAAACAAAATCCTGTTCAAATTGGTTCAAACACTGTTTTGGTTGATCAATTCACTGGTATCACATATGGACATGCAAAACGATTTCAACGACCAACACCAGCATGGAAATTGGATACAACAAAAGTGAAAATCGATGCAACAAGACCAGCAAGATTTTGTCCACAGCAATCGGGTTTTATTGAAATGTTTAAATCGGAAATGACAGCAGAACAAAAACAAATGGCACGTATAAGCGAAAATTGTCTTCAATTAAATGTTTGGGTTCGTAATGTCACGAACGAATCATCATTTACATTAAAACCAGTGCTTGTTTGGTTCCATGGTGGATCATTCATATCTGATACAACAGCTCGTTTATTGTATCAAGGGCAGCAACTTGCAGCACGTGAAGATATTGTTGTTGTTACTGTTAATTATCGATTAGATGCATTCGGTTTCATGTATATTGGTCATCAGAATCAAACATTAAAGACACAAACCAATGCTGGTATTTGGGATCAATTATTAGCCCTGGAATGGATACAAGAACATATTGAATATTTTCAAGGTGATTCAAAACACGTTACCATTGCAGGATTCGATTCAGGTGCTACTTCAGTTGGACTTCATCTTATGTCGCCTAAAAGTCGAAGATTGTTTCAACAAGCTATCATGATGTCAGGATCAGTATATACACAATTGATATCGGCTCGTTCTGCTTGTAATATGAATGTAGCTCAAATGTGGGCTCAAATGGCTTCGACGATTTCTTGTGGTCATGAATGGACAGCGAAAACTTTGAAATGCTTGAAGCAAGCTTCAATTGATAAAATTTTACAACTAATCAATCCATTTGGTCCAGTATCCACTGGACCAGAAATTGTCATGGACCAAACAGATGACCTTTTTCCATTCGATACACTATCCGAAGCAATCGATCAGATTGATACATCAAAAATGGTAATCATGATTGGCTCGACTGATGATGAAGGAAGTCAAGTTTTACCGATGATGAATGATAAACTATTTCAGCAATTTATTTCTGATCAACAATTATCATGGAATGAAGCTATTGAACAAATGGTACAATTAACCTCAAAGCTAGTGCCACCTCGTGGTTGTAATCATAACAAAGTGAACGGAGATGATATTGCCAAATGTTATCTATCTGATTCCAATGTGCCAAGGAATTTCAAAACAATCGGCCAATCTATTGGAGATTTCTATGTTTCCTGTCCGATGACATTGTTTGCCGAAAAACTAATCGAAAAACGACAAAATCCTGCTCAATTATATCAATATGTCTGGTCACAAAAATCTCGTCCAAATCGTTTTGCACCATGTTTGGAATGGATGGGTGCCTGTCATGGAACTGATGTTCTTATGATGTTTGGCATTCCGTTCATGGCATCCAATGAATTTGATGAAAATGATCAAAAAATCTCGAAAAAATTCATGAAAACTATTGGCCATTTTGTTCATCATGGTCGACCAAATATTAAAAAATGGTTACCATGGACATGGAATGAAACCAATTCATTACACATGCCTTATTCACAATTCATAGACGGTGTTTGGAAATTCGAAACAAATTGGAAACAAGATCAATGTCATAAAGTATGGGCAAAATATTTAATGACCAACAATGACGATAATCGGAATTTGACATGCAGGCGAGAATCATTTCAATAGTATATTATAAATAAATAAACTGTATGAATGCTGGTCATGAATTAATCAAAACCGCTTTAAAATTCAAAAAAAAATTTCATTTTATCGAAAAAGTTTGAAATAAATGATAAAAATTTTATTCAATCAAATTTTTTGTTATTTTAGTTGCATCTATACTATGACGAACAACGTTGTCATTTTAGTGGTATTGGTCATTTTTGGCCTTCCAACATTAATCAATGGTGGTTCAACATTTGAACTTTATAGTGATAATCCGGATATTTTTCGAAATACAAGTGAATTAATTGAATCTCGTGGATTTCAATCGGAAACTCATCGAATGATTACCGAAGATGGTTATATATTGACAATGTTTCGTCTGATCAATCCATACATGAAACATAAACGTCCATTACAACCGATATTGATACAACACGGTCTCTGTGGTAATGGTGATTATTTTATTTTCTCTGATCATGAAGCATTGATCGAAGGTGGACAATTTTTGGATCTAAAAACATTACGTTCATTGAATTGTACCGGATTGGATAGAAATTCTGCCGGAACAAGCATAGCTTATATTTTAGCATCCTGTGGATATGATGTTTGGCTAGGTTGGTGATTTTATGTTAGTGTTAATTTTATGTTTTATGTTTTAATTGAATGTTAGGCAATTTTCGTGGCAATCGTTATTCAGATGGTCATATTGTATTGAATCAAAAAATTGGTAAGAAAAAAAACTTGAAAAATGCCAATCAACATGTTTTTATTTGATTTCAATTATTAGATCGTGAATATTGGTCATTTAATATTGATCATTTTTCTCATTATGATACACCAACACAAATAAATTATGTACTCAATTACACTGGAAAATGTAAGTAAATGAACGGAAAATATTTCATAATCAACCAAAATGCTTGTATTATTAGCACATTTGACTTATATAGGACATTCAATGGGTACAACATCAATTTTGCAACTATTAACGGAAAAACCTGAATATTCTAAATATTTAAAACCTATTATTCTGATGGCACCGGTTACTCATGTATATCATATACGATCACCAGTTTTATTGTTGGGAGCTTATACACCGGCACTTATCAAATTTTTTGAGTGGGTTTCCATTATTTCTTTATATCGAATTCTTTTTAATTAATTGGTTTGAAATCTTTTTATATTAGGAAAGCTAGTTTACCATTTTTTGGTCTACCAAGCCGAATTTGGGCTCTAGTCGATCAATTATTTGCAACATTTATCTGTGGAAATTCATTGTTCAAACCATTATGTGCATTAATTGTGTTCATCATCAATGGATTTGATTATCCTAATCTAGCACCGGTAATTTTCAACACTTTCTTGTTATTGAAATTCTAATTGAATGTATTTTTTTTAGCATATTATACCATTCTCAGCAGGACATTTTCCCGATGAAACATCGATGGCTGCATTTGCACATTGGGCACAACGAGTTGTTTACAATACTTTCAGTTACTATGATTATGGTGTCGAAGAGAATCTCTCACGATACGGAACAGATATTCCACCAATCTATAATTTATCTAAAATTGATTCGGAAAATATTATGCTTATTTCCGGTATAAATGATTGGTTAGCCGATCCGGATGATGTTGATATTTTAAGAAGTCAATTGAGTGGTCAGTTTAATATTATAATATACTATTTATTAATTTTCATTAACAAAAACAATTCTATATACTATATATAGTTCGACCGTTAAAAGATTATGTCATCCCTTATCAGCTATGGAATCATGCAGATTTTCTGGTCGGAACGAATCGTGGTTCTGAACAAAATTCAGTCATATTGCAATGGCTTTATGAATTTTTTGGTGAAGTAGCACATGATCATCATTATAAAACATAGGACGACCAATAATCAGTTGATTCATCAATGAGAAAAAATGAGAAAAAAATATGTAGTTATGCTATAGATAACCTGATTATTCGATCATCAACAAAAAAAAAAAAACTGATTAATCAAAAGAAATATAAAATCATATCATTTATCCACGATTCTTACCCAACCATATGTGCTCCAAGTTATCGAAGAATTATTCAATAAATTAAATCCTGAATTTTTACCAATTAAATTCTGGCTTATCATTTCCAACTAAGATAAAAAAAAGAATTATTTGAAAGTATAATGTGAAAACGAAACAAACCTTGATCAATTTAGCGGAATATTTTCCAGTCATAAAATTTGTTGAAAGAAAACGATTGTTCATACGACCAATCTGTTTATTCATATTTGATAGTTTTGAACACCACCAGATTAATGTAGTTAAATAAAGTGTAATGAACATCGTGCATAAAATAAACGGAATAATAAATACTAATGGTAATTGTGTAAAAAGTAAAACATAGATACTATATGAAATGAATATACAATAACCAGAAATTAATACACTGATAACGGATCGCATCTGTTGATTATAACGACGAATTTCAGCATTTAATAATGAATATTGTCGATTAATTCTTAATAATCTGACATAGTATTGAAGTTTAAATAATCCTCGAATATTATTCCTCAATGTGTTGATTGTTTGCTCTAAATCTTGAACTATTTGATAATATTTTAGAAGAATATAATGAACAATAATGATGACAAGAATTGGTGTTGCAAAAACAGCTAAAACAATGATAAATATTGTGATAATCAAAATAAAATCAAACAATTGTAATCAACTTACATGGATAAACGTATGCCAACCAGAGAATAACAGTGAAAAACCAGAAAATTACCCAAAATATACTACGTTCAAATAAATTTTTATCAAAAATGTCATAGATAATCATAATGACAACAAAAAACGTTAATGATTGTATCATTGTACTGATTGCTTGATAACATAATGATCGAAATCTTTTGAATTTTTGATATTGCCAATGATTTAGACCGAATTTTTCGAAATGCATGAAATTACGATTATCAGCATGGTCAACACCATTCTTAAATTGTTTGTTTTGATCTTGAATCAAAAATATTGTTAAAAATTCATAATCTTTTTGATGATAATTAAATGTTAAAATGATGATCATCATATGAATGGTACCCAAAATTATTAATGCCTGACTGAAATTTTTGTGAACATCGGTGGGTAAAAAATCCACCATCAAACAGAATGGATAATAATTTAAATAATCATTATGTAGAAGAAAAATTACAAAACATCCAGTCACTAGTATGGATGGAATGAATGAAATCCATATATGCCAGCATTTTCGTCTTATAGTTTGTGATTGAAGATTTTCAAAATTTTTGAGATTTTGATGTTTGATTTGTTTGGAAAAATTTGACCATACTGAAAATCGAGACCAATAATGGAATAATTGAGAAAATTTTGATGTTTCCATTTTTAAATTTTTAATAGTTGAACATAAACTTGAAAATTGTTCCCGTCATACATTCGAATCAATTTTCTATGATGAAAAATATGTTGTTTTCGTTTACAATTTAGCTAGAATTTCAATGATCAACAAAATGAATGCACATGATTTCAATTCATTGGAAAAATCATTATCATGTACTTTGAGAGTTTATTTTAGTTTAAACAATAACTACTACTAAATAACTATATTTAGACCATCTGTTGGGATTTCCCACATCAATGATAGTGAAAAGACAATCAGTTTTGCAAGAAAAATGAAATAAAAAATCAATAATTGAAAATTCATTCAAAAATGTCAATTCTGATTGCTTCAAAGATTTTATGAACAATGATTTTAGTACCATATTTCATACAGTAAACGCATGGATAAACGAGATGGAGTCGTTGTTGACTCTCTTAAAACTTGTTTTTCCGTCCATAGTCATCGGGAAAAAAAGAAGTCTTAGTCAGAAAAAGATCATCTTAAAATGATCTAACACAAAATCATAATGAACAAAATGGTACCCGAAACAAATGCTATCATTCAATGGTTCAAGACGGCTCAGAGTCGATTAAAAAAAGCTCGATTACGTGCGTCGTTGGTTCAGTGGTAGAATGCTCGCCTGCCAACAGTTGTGGATCATTTCCGCCGGATCCGGAAGTACGCGGGCGGCCCGGGTTCGATTCCCGGACGACGCAATTGGCCATTAAATTTTTGTCCAAAACAAGCTTTTATTATACTTTAAACTTTTCAAACGAATCGATCATGCCACTCGATCGATAAAAAGGTATTATCTTTTTTATTGTTCAGAATATACGCAGAACATTCATATTCAAAATGTGTTGAGAAAAACCGGATATTTTCAATGAACACTAACAGTCTGCGTGGTTTGGCTGCATTGATGGTTATTGATGGTTATTATGATTTACTCTTTTCTAAAAAACCTGTTTTCATTCTCATCATCATGTTTGAGATTGCTTGAGATTTTTTCAATGCAATATTCAGAGAGTTGAGTCAAAGAAAATGTCATCTAAAGCGGTTATCATTATCTAATGACCAAAAATGGTTCAGATGGTTCGTACGAAATTGGAATTATAAAATCTGAATTCATCGCTTCACAGTGATAATTTCCATTCCCGGACGACGCAATTGTCCAAAAAAACTTTTATTATACTTTAAAATTTTCAAAGGAATCGATCATACCACTAATTCTAATCAACCTGTCGATATCTTAAAATTTCGTTTGGCTGATTCATGTTCCATTTTTCAAGCTGAATTATTTGCAATCTATCAAGCATCTGAATGGTTAAAAAGAACTAATCAATCAGCGAAAATCTTTATCGATTCATATTCTGCTATTCTTGCTTGTTGTTCAAGTAAAAGTAATGAGAGATAGGAAGTAATACTAGACACTTTTTTTCTTCCATTTATGATCGTTTATTATACAGTAATGTTTTAAATTTTACTTTAGTTCAATTTTTATCCGGTCATGGAAAATTTCGTTATTACTTATATAATATTGGTTATTCTACTGTCTCATCGTGTTGGTGCGGAATAGATACTAAAAATTCCATACATTTGATTTGTTATTGTCCACGTTACATAGAACATTCATATTCAAAATGGCTGGAGAAAAACGGGAAAACTAACAGTCTGCGTGGTTTGGCTGCATTGATGGTTATTATTTCTATGATGATTTACTCTTTTCTAAAAAAACCTGTTTTCATTATCATCTTCATCATCGTGTTTGAGATTGCTTGAGATTTTTTCAATGCAATATCCAGAGAGTTTAGTCAAAGAAAATGTCATCTAAAGCGGTTACCATTATCTAATGACCAAAAATGGTTCAGATTGTTTCAGATTGTTCGTCCGAAATTTGAATTTATAAATTCTGAATAATACAGCGTCGTTGGTTCAGTGGTAGAATGCTCGCCTGCCAACAATTCAAGCATCATTTCCGCCGGATCCGGAAGTTCGCGGGCGGCCCGGGTTCGATTCCCGGACGACGCAATTGGTCAATTAATCTTTTTGACCAATATCCAAACGAATTTTGAAAATCTGGTTCAAATGTTAATTCAAAATATACTAATTGCGTGAACTAATTCTAGATGGCGCTAATAGACTGTTTTGTGAAATTATTATCAAACCGCAATATTGATAGCGTTATTCTTCAAATTATTAATAGGCACATTCATTTGCGATCAATAATCATTGAACAATAAATTTATTGCGATATTATATTAGTCATTCATAATATTTGATGAAAAACAAAGTTTCAAAATATCAATTCATAAACATTATATTTCTTAATGATTTTTTACTGAGAAAAATGTCTGACATTCCATATGTTTAAAAAGAATTGATTATTGGCGCTATACCACGTTTCACTTTATGCGGTCCTAATTTTGGTACCATTTCAATGCAATCAATAATTGGACAAACAGAATAACATAAACTGCAACCAGTACAATCATCCGTTACTTCTGGCAAATGTGTATTTGCATCGAATTTGATAGCCTGATAGCCAGAATCATTACATGTCATATAACATTTCCCACAATTGATGCACATGTCCTAAAAAAATTGTAACGATAGAAAGAAAAAAAATATTTTTAGTATAATGAAATTTTAGGCAAAAAATACCAACCTGATTGATTAATGCCACTTTTTGTTCGTTATTATTCAATTGATTAAAAGTTCCTATTTTTGGCAGTGAATAACCGATCAAATCCTGTCGAATGAATAAAATGGATTCGTGAATAAACTTTGTTGAATTTCTCATTCTCAACTGTGACATACTTTTAATTTGATTAAACAGATTGTATTTTCTTTATTTGCATTCAATGTTGATTCAATAAAAGGCTTACCAGGAATCGGTTTCCCTTTTTGATGAATCGGTGTCGGTGGTGATTGGAAATTCCATTTTTTATCATATTCTTCATTATTTAAACTTTTTAAATAAAGTAAGGTTTTCAATCCAGTTATAAAATCCTGTATGACGGTGAAATCTTGATTTTGAACAGCACTGCAAATTTGAAGTGCACTTGCACCAGCATAAATAAATTGTAATCCCGATTCTGCCGAATCGATACCACCAGTGGCTAGAATTGTCAAGTCAGGCACAGCACGGGCGATAGCCGACACGGCACGCAATGCCATTGGTCTAACAGCATTTCCGGACATTCCACCATATGTGGTACGAGCTTCGTTTCCTACTTTGGGCCATGGATTTCCATCGCTTTGTAGCCACATTAAACTTGATACCGTATTTATTACGGTAACACCATCAGCTCTTCCACGTTGAGCTGCACGGGCGATATCAACAATTTCGGTAACATTCGGAGTTAATTTAGCAAACACGGGTACGGTTGATACCGACTTGACCCATTTGCAAATATCTTCGACCATTTGAGGATTTTGTCCACAAGCTAATCCCATTCCTCTTTCACCCATACCATGTGGACAGCTTAGATTTAATTCTAATGCATCAGCACCCGATTCTGTTGCCATTCGCGTCAATTCAACCCAATCATCTTGATTATATTTAGCCATTATACTAGCGATTATAATTTTTTCTGGAAAATCTTTTTTCAATTCAGAAATACATTTACACCAGTAAGCGGCCGTCTTTTCGCTTATTAATTCAATGTTTAAAAATGAGCTTAAATGTGGCCCATAAAGATGATTAGATGTTGAACCACGAATAATTCGGGGGGATACATTTGTAACCAAATCTTTATCCAGACCAAATGTTTTTGTTAAAGCGAATCCCCAGCCTGCTTGAAATGCACGACGAATCATTGCACCAGAGGTGGTCGGTGGGGCACTTGCCAAACCAAATGGATTTGGGAAATGTATCCCACAAATATCGATGCTAATATCAACCAAATCGATCGGTGTATACATTCGTGGTAATCTTGCTATAGGGCCAACATCATTGTTATGCTTACTCTGAAGATAACGATGAATAGACCATGCAGCCGTTTTACCATCATTAACGGCTTCTACGGTTGTTTCGGAAACCCCGGCCAAATCTCCACCACAAAATACCCATTCGATGCTTGTGGACATTGTATCAACATCGACTAACGGTAGTCCAGTTTTTTCATTTATTTTTAATGGATACAATGCTTCGATCACATCCGGATCGGTTAATGCTGAACCAAAAGCTGATATTACAAATTGACATTTGATTTTTATTGATTGTTCCCGATCCTCAATAAAATTGCCATCCTCATCGATTTCTGTTCGATAAAATTCCATTGATACAATGCGACCTGATTCCATTTTGATATGATATGGAGACATGAATGGCATTAGTTCACATTTTTCTTCAATAGCCAGATTAACTTCTTCGGGTACAGCACGAATATTATTAAATCCTCGACGAAATACGAGCGATACTCGTTTGGCTCCACAACGAATAGCTGCCGTTGCACAATCGAATGCCGTATCACCAGCTCCCAATACAATTACATGTCCATAAAGTTTGGGAAGATCTTCCGTTGAATCTAATGATTTTGATTCTCGTGAAACGGCTGGTAGAAAATCTTTCGATGTATAAAATCCATTACGAGAACTGAGACCATTGAATATGGAACTTAATTTTGGTTGAGGCAAACCAAGACCCAAAAATATGCAATCATATTTGTCCTGTTTACGAAGAGATTCCAATGTATAGTTGCGTCCTAAAGATTGATTTGGTAAAATTTTCACGCCTAAGTCACACATTAAATCAATTTCAAATTGAACAGCATGATATGGAAGACGATACTGTGGTATTTCAGTGGCACTTAAACCACCAAGAACTTTTTCTTTCTCTAGAATTGTCAGATTTGAATATCCAAGACGAGCTAAAAATGTTGCACAACTTATGCTAGATGGACCACATCCAATTAAGGCAATTTTAGATCGAAATACATCAGGCATCTGATTGATAGTCTTTAAACTTGGATCACGAATTTGTGGAACATTCATCTTTCGGAATACATCCACAGCGAAATGTTGAAGACCAGAAATATTAATTGGACCTTCTTCAGTGGCATACAAATTACAACCACCAACGCAAAGATTTGATGTTGGACATACCTAGGGTCGAGGAGGACAAAAAAATTTTTTTTAAATTGGAAAACTCGCTTAATAATACAAGTAATACCATGCCACATGTAAGGCCAAGCGGATTGTCCGATAAAATACATTGAGCTGCTCCGTAATAATTCTGAAAAAAATAAATGATTGATCTATGTAATGATTGATCAAAATATATCAAAATGTTCATTACCCTAGTGGCAATCATGCCGATAAATGCCTTGATATCTAATTGAGTTGGACAACTCTTTTGACACGGACTATCGGCACATTTAAGACAACGAGCAGCTTCACGAAGTGCACCACGTTCACTTAATGTAGTTGGTTTAATATCATCAAAATTTTTTACCAATTTTGACCAATCACAATTACTACGACTACAATTACGTTTCCAATGCAATTTTTCTCGTTTAGTACGATGACTAGGAATAACGGTTGCACATTCTTGTACGCGAGGATTTAGAGAAAGTATGTCCTAGATAAAAATTTAAAAAATTCATTTCAAATAGTTGTATTGCAACATGGAAAAAATTTGATTAATAGAATCTATAGATAAAAGTGCAAATCAAAAATCAAATATTAATTATATGTTCATCATGCATACTTCAATGTCTTGTGAATCTTCGGTCAATTTGTGAATTTTTGCTGTTGTGTAATGGTCCATTTTTTTAAATTAATTGTTCAATTGTGAATGAAGAAAGACGACTCAAAACTAGATCTTAATAAAAAAAAAATATAATAATAATTTGAAGAAAATTAATGAATCATGAAGTTTACTATTATGATTGATGGATTAAATTAAAAATTATTATATCGAATTGAAGGAAAAAAAGTTTGCCAAACAAATTAGTCCAAACGTCGTTTCTCACGTGATCACATTGTAACTTTCATAATAAAAAAAAGTTCCATCATTTTTGCCATGTTTTGATTTGCTATTTTCTTCATTGATATGACAAAGATTCACAATCCTAAACTAAATGCGTCATTAAGGATATCAATCAATCATCACCACAACGATCATCATAATCAAAAATCAACAACAACATAAAACAATCACAGATGTTGTTTTTCAAACTTTTCACAATTCTCAACAAATTCATTTCTTTTCTGCTGATAAATAACAAAGCCAAACATTGACAAAATACTGAACTTTGTCAATAGGAAATTTTTCTTTTTGGAAATTAGACAAAAAAGCTGATCAAAAGAAAAAACATTTGTGGATCAAGGTTTTGTTGTTGTCGTGCTTTTTGGTTTTAAATTTCATCAATAAAATTTTTTTTTTGATTTTTTTTGCCATTAGATGGCATTTCATATCTGTATACAGAAAAAAATGGGAAAAAACGCTAATTCATCGATCGAATCAATTAAGCAATCGAAAAAAACAAAAATTTTTCATCATCAATGATTGATTGATTGGATTATCATCATCAAAGAAGATTCAGAAACAATTGGCAACATTTCGTCAATCGTCATTGAAATGAATTTTTTACGCTTTGTCTAGTAAATGTTAATCGATTTTTAATTGACAATGTAAATATAAATTCTGAATGAATATAGTGATAATAATAATAATCATTACCTTTTTTCAAATTATTCAGAAAAAAAATTAAATTGAATAAAATGATTATTTAGCCAATTTGGATCATCATCATCATAATCATCATCGGTAACACACGAATTTCAATAACAAAAGGCCATATATATATTATATTGCAAAAGGAATGACAATGAAAAAGAAACATGAAAACCCAACATCAACATTGCTTTCAACCATAATGATCATTATCAACACAGACACTGACAAAGACAGTCAGTTCTAATTTATTTTTGGAAATTTTTTTCTTTTCGGATCACGACCCAATCAACTATTATACTGGATTATTATTATTATTATTCATTCTCATCTTCATTATTATTAAAGGATAGAATATTTATCCTTGAAACATTTTACTATTATTGTTATATTAACACTATATGAATATTTGTAAAATTCAATGATAGAGTGAAAGCAAAAAAAAAAAGACAAAAATTTCTCAACACATCATCAAAATATGTCGAGATCAAATCATCGTCATCAACATCGTATTCAAAACGGATGAAAACATTTTTTTTTCTCATTCTACCTGTGTGGACATTGTCCATAGTGCACAGCTATGCTAAATTGAGAGAGAGAGAAAAAAAAAAATATTCAAACAAAAAAAAAATACGAGGTCGATTTCCTTTTCGTTTGTTGTTTTTTCTACTTAATGCAACGGAATTTTTCCGTATTTTCATCGGTAAAAAAAATGTATATCATCAAAGATTTAAAATTATTAAATAAAGAAAAATATCTTCATAAGAAAATTTCAATATTTTTTCCCAATAAAAAACAAAACGAAAAAAAATGTTTGAAAATATCAATCCATAAGATTTACGTAAGCGTTGATCCCCATCCTTCTCCTTCTTCACCTTAAATATAATTGCAATCAAACAAATTACATTCACGTATCTATGAAAATGAATAATTTTATCGTCATTTTTATCACATTCTCCCCATTTTAATTCAGACAAGAAAAAAAAACAGCACAGAAGCGCCAACAAAAACGTGTTAATCAATCATCAAATAATATAATTATGTTATATATTAATTTCATTTTCGGTCAATCAAAATGACAATGATCATGATCAAACAGATGATCCAGATCAATAGATTGATCCAGGCACAAAAATAATTGGATTATCACTTATGGGGAAATTTAATTTTACAGAAAAAAATTGAAATAAATAATAATTAACTAAAAAAAAAAAAAAAAATCAAATCAAATTACAATCATCATCAACGAAATGATCTAGTTAACAATAAACGACACAGTGACCATCATCATCATTGTCATCATAATGATGATGATGATCCAAAATCGAATAAACTTTATTTGCGAATGGAAAAATGAAAAATCTAGTCATTATGATCGTTATATCTTTTTAACAACAAGTTAACACTAAACACCATCTGCTATTAATTTGAAAATTCCTTCACAATCATCATGGATTGTATAAGCAGAGGTGGTGATAATGATGATGTATGGATGATCTAATCTAATCATCTGAAAAAAATGATTTAAAAACTTTTTTTTTTTTTTTTGAACCAATTTGCGTGGTTGAAAATTGTTCCAACATGCAACAGGTGCTAAAAAGAAAATCATTCATTTTTTATGTGCACGGATGATTGAATGAAAATGCAGCTGAAAATTTAAACCAGGCCATAGATTTCGATACAATGTTAAAAAAAATTATAAATTTGACATTTAGATTAAAAAAAAAATTATTGTCATTTATATTTGTTTTCACTGGATCCTCATAAAAGTGAAACAAAATTATCAAGCTTCATAATAATAAATTGTTATATTAAAATGAATCGTCACTAATGGTGATGATTTGAATTTTAATTCATAATATCGATATGTGTTTTATATGCAATACGTGTGTGTGTGTTTGTGTCATTCAAAATTGATTCATTATATAATATTGGAATGAAAACAAAAAAAAAATTCTAAGACATTTACATGTTGAACTTTATCGATAAATCTCAAATGTCTATCATAATAATCAAGAAAATCTGCTATTTCTAATAATAAGATATCAAATCAAATCATCAGATCATTTACATAGTAAATCATTATTAAAGGTCATCATAAGACCCGATTTATTCAATAAAATTGATCATTTCAATATTGGTGAATCTTAATATAATGATGAAAAATATTTGAATTATGATATAATTCGAATGTCCATGGAAGAAGAAAAAAATTCAATGAGGATCTCGGACATTGGATACATTTAAAATCAATATGAAATATGTATCATCATCAGTGGAACGTGCACAAAAAAAAATTATCAATGAAACAATCTTTCAATTATTTCTTCAATTTACGGATGAAGTTAATGAATGAAATGAAATACTAAAATAAACTCATCAAATAGGATTAATGTAAATCAATATGGACATCGATGTTATTTGATTAAAATTGTCAAATGGCACAAATTAATCATCATCATTAAATTAATTAATCAATAGGAAAAAAACATGAAGAAATTTTCAAATGGAAAATTTTTTTAATTTTAGATTTAGCAGAGTATAGATGATAGTAAAGATGATTAGGATTCTGCTCGTGATTCGTCGTATTTATATAGCCCACTCACGAAAAACAGATATTCAATCCTTATCATGGATTCTTAAGCCCTTGTCCGCAAAAATAAACAGCAACGAAATATTTCATACACAAAAAAAAATATCATTCCCTCTAGGGGGGATTTATAAGCATCATCTCACGCATAGACAACAGAAAAATCATCATATTTCATCTTCATTGAAAGATGCTTTTTTGTATTATTATTGAATGGATCAAATTAAAATCGAATTAGAATTAAATCAAAAAAAAAACAAATGGTGACTTTGGCCTTGACTATTGCCACATACCATATGTAATATGTCCAAAATATATTCATACGATGATCATCATGTATAACGTGATTTGTCGTTCTATTTGAACAAATGTCGAATCTATATCATGTTTGACCATCGATTATAAATACTTAGATACTTGATGATGATTTTTATTATCATTATATTGTAATCTAGAAATGATTATCAGTATCATATGTAAATTTCAACAACACTACAGATGTTTTGTCGCTTCTTGAAATTTAATGAAGATTGAGGAAATTTAAAAATGTATATGTGATGTATGGCCATTAGAGCCAAACTATTTACGTGTCCATTTTATATTTTTTTTTGTGATTACGATACATTTACTAATAAACATACATATGCGTGTATGTCTGTTTTTATCCACTAAACAAATGGACATTTATCATAAAAGAATTTTTTTTGGGGATTATAAACAAAAAAAATATCTTTTTACCACGTTTTACCGTGGTTTTATTTTGTTCTTTATGACAACGATTAAACACGTTATATTGTATATATGACAATGTAATTTCTGTATTCACTCTGTATGAATGTTGAGTTGATTTCACCATCGTATTACGTATATATAGGATTGACTAACCGATTGAACGACCTCCAATATATATATTTTTTCAAACAACAAAAACAATAACAATTAACAGGTGTCAATGAAGATGAATTTAGAATGAGAATTCTCAAAGAAAAAAAAATATATAAACGACAATCCATTTTTTTTGATAAATGGATGGATGTGCAAAAATGTCGATTTTATAAATTAAAAAATTTTTTTTATATCAATTTAAATAAATGGATAGAAACAAGACAATAATTTCCTATATTCAGATGGACAAAATACAAAAAAAATTGGCCTAATAATTGTTTATTGAAATTATAATTGGTTTTACATAGAAAAAATAGTTACAGTAGACATCATCATCATTATTGAAATGTAATCAAATTGCTTATGAATAGACAATTTTGACGTCTTCGATGAATGACCATTCATCGATGATGATGATGATTATGATTGTTGAGACCATGACACTTATCTTATTTAGATTGAATGAATGAATAAAAACAAATGTTGTACATTGGTTATTGGAACAAAATGATAATAAACACATAATTAAAATGATGATGATGACAATGATGGCCTGCTTGCCTGTCTTAAAGACAAGATGATTATAATGATGGTCATAGTCAATGACCATCATCATCATAACTATACGTCAACATAAATGAGCACGTGTACTTGTCAACACGTGTTATTCTAACGAGAGATATGAAATTTTTTTTTCATATTGTATGTACTTGTCCATAATTCAATAAAATGGGTGCGAATAAATAGAGAAACGAAAATAATGTTATTTTCAATGAAAATTGATGGCCAAATTTTTTTCCCCAAATGATTAGCAACCGAAAATGGATTCAATAAAATAGAAATGTTTTGTATTGTTTTTTTTTCTATACTTTTGTTTTTGAAATTAATCAATTCAATCAATCGAATCTTGTTTCAGCCATTATTGATGAATGAAACAGGAAATATAATTCAATGGATCATCTTTCTTACAGCTGTCTCGATTTATTTGTCTATGTACATGTCGATTTTGGTCTATTTGATTTATGTTAATCAATAGAGCAATCATTGTACAGATTGACATGATGATGTTTTCTTCCTCACTCATCATCCATTTCATTATACACCATTTGCAAATAATTCACATGAAAAATACGATCACGCGTATCATATTTCCGAATCGATTCCTTTTCTCTGTCATTTTTTTTCGCAATATGCAACAAGTATTTCCGAATATTATGGATTCATTTGTACATGACAGAGAAACAAAAAATGGAATTGGTGAGAAAAATCCAGTATCAATTGTTTGATAATAAGATTTATTTATAACTAATTGATATCTAAATACATTACTATTTTAGCCAGTTTTCTGAATCGGAAATGCGACCGGTAAATAAAACCAATTGAAACGAAAAGAAAGAGGCGCTACAGTGCAGCCCGAGTTTTTATAATATCATGAAAGTCATAAACTGAGCCTCTTTTTAATATTGAAAACATATGTTATCACGATTTCCGTATTAGTTCAAAGAAAAAAAATTGTGAATCCCGAGTGTTGATTACCGGGTCTGTTTTGTTGTTTGGCCGGCTTTTCTTGGCTTAAATATGTTGATGGTTTCGTAAAAAAAGAGTGAATACAAAATGAATTCAGTTTGTTCAGGTGGAGGGATAATTTAATTTCCATTCATAACTTTATCGAAAATTGAATGAAAATATATTCAATCTTGAAATTCTGAAATGGCCGCACCAAAAAATTTTTTTTTATATATTCATTTTTCCAATCATCATAATGATGGTATATCCGATTACAATTAACGGCATATTTATGATGATGATGATGAAAAAACAAAACATCAAAACTGGCAACATCGGGGATTATTAAATTACCGGAGACATACACAAATACTTGACTATTACCATGAAATTATGATCATTAAATTTATTATTTGATTTTCATCATCATCATTATGATTGTCGACAAAATAATGACGGAACATGATTTGAAATTCTGATAATTATTATTATTATTAAATTCATAATTATATAATCAATACACAAGTAAAATATCATTATGGTGCAACAAGCTATCGAGATTATTAATTTTATTATATATGATTATGATGTTTGATGATAAAAAACAATTTGTGATTTATGATTGTTGAAGATGGAAAAAAAATTGCTGTATAAAAAGATACCGTGGTTACTTTTTTTTGATTTTATTATTTTTTCCTGCCATAATACTGAATGATGATTTGAATCACTTGTTCATCATGGGCGTCGATAATTGTGTTGTCTAATTGTTTGTTTGTTGTTTTTTTTAATAAGACACTATACAAAAAAGGAAGTAAGCAATGAAAAAATCTGAATTTTATATTCAACGTAGATTAATTTTTGATGTTTTAAAATGAAAAAAAACAGTAGTAAGAGAATTGTATGAAAAAAAGCCAATTTCCATATTAATCATTTCCACTAAATGATGATGATGATGATTATCTTCATCATCATTTAATGGATAAATTGGCCATTCTATTGATTCGGTTATCCAACTAATTTACGGATTCATATCACATATTTTCCAATGAAAAGATAAATGTAGCAAATACGAAATTGACTTTTTTGAAAAAGATTTTTTTTCTCTCTCTCTCTCTCTCTCTTAGTCGTCAATTTATATTTTTTTTTCTCCAACAACATTTCCTCTAAATCATCATGTTGTTGATGAACATCATCAAGTTGAACTTAAACCGTACCGATTTGATACGATTAAATATGTTAATGTATAAATTATTTGAGACAGATTTTCTATGTTTCTTTTTTTCGGATTTTTATTTATTTATCCATTCAAAATAATAATATATTAACTGACAAATCCGAAGATAAATCCTTTTTGAATGGAAATTTCCGCTGTTTAAATCATCATTATCGTTATCATGTTGAATAATCTTTTTTTTGTTGTTGTTAATTTTTTTAATGTTTGTTTGAACAAATAAAACAAATAGTTGATTTTTTTTCACCGTTCAAATCAGACAAATCTTTAAAACAAAAAGAAAAAAATTTCCATTTATTCCACATTGTATATAATCAATTTAAGTACTAGAAAAAAAAATGAAAATACTAATGATGATCGATTGACAATTCATCCTGTGTTCATAATAATAATGATAATAATAATTGAGTTGTCAAAATTACGAACAAAAAAAAATACAATTGTTTATAAACAGTTGGAACCTTGAGAGAAAAAAAAATGTCACCGACATTATTCTCCAAGACAAAACTAATGTTTGGTCAAAAGAAAAATCCCAAATAATCGGTCAGCTGTAACTAAATGAATTTTTTGTTTTGTTTTGTTTGTACACAATGAAACACTTTTTTCTTTGGATTTGTGTCAATTCATTTATCGATTGATTTGTTGTTGTTGTTGTTGTTGTTGAATTTTGAACAAACACACACACATGTTTTTATAATATATAACGATAATGATTGTCCAAAATGTAAAATTAATTTAAAAAAATAAAACAACAACAACAAAACCAATCTATCTAGATAAATACACTCACTCATGAACGAGTGAGCGAGGACGTGCAAAAAATTTTTATAAATTGATAAAAAAAAAATTTTGAAATGAAAATTAAAACATAACCGAAAGGTATAATAAACCATAGAAATTGATTCTACATTCAAATTTGCAACAAAAAAAAAATCAATTCGTGAATTAAGCTTACAAGCTACATAGACATCTAACATAAAATCAATCAAGCTAATTATCATTTTAGAACATTATTACCATCAAAAGTCTTTTGAACGTGCACGTACAAGTGTTGATTTATTTAGTATAAAAAATTTGATTTGTATATGAAATGAAAAACAGTTTTTAATCAAAAAAAAATTTTTTTTTCATTTGTTCCGTTTCATAAATGTCATAATCTCAATGTATTTGTTGTTGTTGTTGTTTTTATTTTTTTTTCTCTTTGATGATCATCAAAAGTATGATGTTGTTGATGATGATGATGATGATAATCTCGAAATGTTTTCTTGATCAATGTGTGTGTGTGTTTGTGTGTATCGGCATCCTTGATCATGTTCTTCAATTATTCTTATAAATGTATGTTGATGTTGTAAAATTATTTGATTAAAAAATTTTTTTTTTTTTTTTTGCTTTTTCTATGACCGTATGGATCAAATTTTTTTGTTTCGTTAACATCATGATATATCCAACACGGCATGGAGGACCTTAATATTGAAGAGGTAATAATGTGCGATAAAGATTGGATTTAGATTTGGATTTTGGAGAAAAAAAAACATTTCGATTTCGAACCTGTATATATGTTGTAAAGGGACCTGTTTAGTTCCATAATAAAAAAAAATCATTATGAAGCAATCATATATTACATACTAACAGAACCATGGGTCAGTACACCAGATCATCGAACTATTATCAAACTCGGAAATAACACCGATCAAATCAATTCCCACCAACGAATCATATCCGTTGAATCCAAGACCAGGGTGCCGTAAGTTGATCCAGCCAAAACAAATTCATAAATTCCGGTGACCTGATAGATTATCATCACCCGTGAAGATATCGGAGCATTACATAAATCAATAATCCAGAAATCGAGGGGCCAAATCGAAGGGAATCCAAGATCTACTCCATTGAATCAATTCTGCTCAATCGTACCGACCGATCGAATCCGAAGATGGAGGACATCATACAGACACTAGATCGACACATTATGGCGGCAGGCATCAAATAATACCGGCGTTGACAAGAAAAATTCAAGGTGCACCGTTTCTATCGACTCAGGACCACAACTTAAAGATTATGAAGGATTATTGGAAGTCGTAATTTCAGTAGCGTCGATACATTACTAAAGTTGACAACCTTACTCTCCGAAGACTTCCATTTGGCCACTTGCGTCATGCGTAAAAAATCGACGAAATCCACCTCATCAACATATCGGCAACGAATACGGAACTCAATAATTTGAAATGACATCGAAGAATATCTGAGACGAGGACTAACCAGAAAACAGGCTCCTCAAGTTAAGCCCGAATGGACAATCTCAACCCATACATCATGAGAGAGATCGACAACGAAACCCGCCACCACGCGAAGACCGAATAACATTATGATCAACCCACGAAACGCATCAACATGTCTTTCCGCGACAAACATCAACCAAGCAAACACGGCCCAACAAATGATGATGAAGACTCTTCAACAATATTCGCTATTAATGAATCTCGCCCCTTTCTCTTGTTGTTGTTGTTGGGACAACACATTATGTACGACGTACGTACAGTGCCTACAGACAAGAAAAAAAATCCAAACTTTTGCACGTGAAAAGAACATTATGTTAGAGGATTTGATTTGAAGAAATTTTTTTTTTTGAAGAGATGATGCTACAAAATAAAGAACAAGAAAAAAAAAAAAAATTCTAAATGTCAAGTTATGAATGTGCTAAAGTATAAAAAGGCACCATTAAAATCATGGACCGAAAAAAAATTAATCTTTGATCAACAACAACAACAACAACGGTTTTTTAAATCGCCCAAAAAACAATTGTGTAAGTGGAGTGTTAAATTTTTTTCATTATCGTAACACTTGAGAAATCGGTTGGGAAAATCCCCAAAAAAAAAAAAATATTCCGTGATAGGTGTTTATTTTATTTTTATTCAAAAACGTATTGTCCACAACACGGTATGTGTATGGTGTGTATGTGGCAAAATGGTCATCATTTGAATATTTTTTTTTGTTGATTGTAAAACATCCAATTTTTCATAATATTTTAAACATCATCAACAGTGGACAATACCGAATCTGAAATTTTTTTTTCATCCGTTTAATATACTTTGAATTATTTTTCTATATTTTTTTCTCACTACAATCATTAATTGTTTCAATAAGTTTTTTCTCTATTTTTCCAGAATAATTTTTCAACAATATAAAAAATCCAGAATAATTCTATTATCATGCAGATCAAGGTGAATTTTTTTGATAAAAATATTGAAAAATCTCATCAAATTTATTTTTTTTCCTAATTTCATACCCGATAAAAAATAATCATCTTCATGACTCTTTTATCTGCATACAGTCTATCGTAAAAATTTCATTCATATTTGCCACATTTTTTACCACTTGTTTGGCACAAAAAGGTGGCTCATATGGTAAAACTTTATTGAATGAAAATCGTAGTCCAGCCCGTCAGATTCAACAACAACAACAACAACAAATTCTTCAACAAGCCGCTATTGCACCGAATGTTCAGCCAATTGTACAACAAACTTTTCAACCAGCTCCAGTTCAACAGGTAAGTTTGATTATTGATTATCAATAAAAATATTTAATTTTGATTAAAAAAATTTTTCTTAGTACGAAGATGATCAAGCAGCCATTGCAGGTCCAATTCGTCAACGACCAAGTGATCAAGCAGCTATAGCTGCACCAATACCTGATGGTGATGATGATAATCAACATCCAGCACCTGAACCATATACATTTTCCTATGCAGTGAATGATGAACAAAGTGGTTCCGAAATGTCTCGTGAAGAATCACAAGATGCTAACGGAAATATTGTCGGTATGTTTATAAAATTAAAAGAAAACAAAACAAAAACTGAATGTGTCATACAAACGTAGAAAAACAAATACAAATTTATGATGATTCAGAAATCAAATTTAGATTCGCCATATAAAGCAATTAATAGACAAGTAGGATTGAATCAAAATTTCAAATAAACAAAATAGGGGAGGTAACGCCTTATTTAATACAGTACATAATAGGTCATATCAAAATAAAATGAGAAAAAAATATTTACTCACGAATCATTTTCACTTTTAGGATTCTATCTTATTCGTGATTCTGAAAATCGTATGAGACGTGTGGATTATACCGCCGGCCCTGAAGGTTTTCGGGTAAGTTGACTTGTGTAATCCATTTTTGGAAATGTTACAAAATTTTCTTTTGAATTTCTATATTTGGATTTCGAAATGGTTTTTTTTGGGTGTGGGGAAATAGGCCATAATCCGTTCTAATGAAGAAGGTCTAGCAAATAAAGATTCTGCTGATGCAAAATATGAGGTGGATGAAGTCCCAGCCGATCGACAAAATGCTGCTGCACTTGCAGCACAATCACGTTCACAAGCTGCCGGTTACGGACAACAACAACAACAAACAGGACCATCCGGTTCATTGAGTGGTTCATCGTATACGAGTGGTGCTGTTACGCCACAACAACCACAACAACAACAATCAAGCTATGCATTAGCCGGTAATGAACGTCAACGTATACAACCACAAACAATTAAAGGATCACCAAAAACGCCAAGTTCATTTGTTTCACCTGCACAACAACAAAGACCTGTTGCACCATTAATTAAACAAACATTTCAACCGGCTCCAATTGTTCAACAGCAACCAGCTCAATCCGATTCTTATTTTCCATCAAGATCATCTTCCGCCACTTTAGCTGCTTCTTCACAAGATTTTGAACATCAACAACAACAGCAACAAAGTGAAGAGGGTAATTATTATTTAATTTCTGAACCCATAATCCCTTAAGATTAATTTTATTCCTTGCTTCCAACCTTTTATTTCTCCTGGTTACCTCTATTATTCCGTAAAGCTTTCTTTTGAAATCCAACATAAAAATATTAGCTCTCATCTAATCCATCCATTTACACCATCACCCACCAAAAATCATCATTTTTTAATATTATAATTCTTGTATTTGAGTGCCAAATTAAAATTTTTTCGTTGCTATGAATGCAAACAAAAAAAAAAAAAAATCCAGAAACAGCTGCCATTCAACCAATCATAAATAATCATCATGCATCATCATCATCACATTCATCATCATTTCCATCACGAATAACACCAATAAGCCGGCCAGCTAGCCGATTACAGCCACAACAATTTGAACTAACACAACCATTTATTCAACAAGATTATGAAGAAGATCAACAACGAATGCAATCGACTAAATCAAAACGATGGGCATTACCATTAAATTTTTTCTTACCACAAGAATATCGTTCATGATCAAAACGATAATAAATACGATAACACATCAAAGAAAAAAAAACATAGTCATCCAGTAATAATAAATAAAAACAAATAACGAAAAATACACACACACACACATAAATTTAATTCATTTACAAATTTTTCTTCAAATCAAATTAAGTGGTTTGTGGTGGTGGTGGTGGTAGTAATGGGGCTAGCAATTTTGGGAAATTAGGATTCATTCGTACCAAACAGATAAACAAACAAGCGTCCATATGGAATCAATTCATTTTTTTTTTTTTTTGCTTTAATTTAATACCAATGTGTGTGTGTGTGTGTGTGAAAGATTTTAAATTGTTTCATCATTCAAAGATTTGATACATTTGCATATATAATAATAATATATTGTTCCTTGTATAAAAATTAAAAATCAAAATTTTTTTTTTAAATTTTTGTCAATATCATACACACATTGTTGATTATTTCGAATGAATGAATTAAATCAAATTTCATCAAGAAAAACAAAATTCGAAAAGTTTTTGTTTTGTTTATGATTATAAAAAGTAAACAGAAAATATAATCAACATTTGGAATGATTGAATCAATCGATTATGATGAATCAATTATGGTTCATAATGATGATAGTAATGATGAAATTGGAAACACTAGTAGCATTGAAATTGTCAACCAGCACTATTACCAGTACTACGACAACTAGTAGTAATAATTTTATTATTCCAGTAGTTGAAACATCAAATACATTGGTGGTGGTAACGACAAATAATCCAGAAAGTTTAAATGTAACCATTGTATTGATCATAAGTTTTATGGTTGGCTTTTTCATTGGTTTAATCATCTTTCTATACTATATTCTTTATTATGATGGTAATGGACGTTTATTATTTTCCGATCAATCAGAAGCTCAAACAGAGGATTTTTATCAATATTCATCTGAAACATTGATACCACATCCTACGATAAAATCAACAACGACGACGACAACAACAACAACAACAACACAAACACCAACACCAACTTCATTAACTACTTTATCCACTACACCTAAAATAGTTAAAGCAAAAACAAAAACTGAAAAAACAGCTAAAATTACGAAAAAAGTGAAAAAAATTAAACACCATATACCGTTGTTAGAATCATCAAAATCAACAACAAAATCTAAAAATAAAAAATCAAAATTCAAGTTATGGATATCATGGATAATAGGATTTCTAACGAAACACATGACAAAACGTCGATATTCATCATCATCATCATCATCATCATCATCATCATCATCATCATCAATTACAAACAAATTTTCAATGAAACCTTTAACAACAATCACATCAAAAGTGTCATTTAAAATAGAAAAATCAGCAACAAAAACAACATCGACAGCAACGTCGTCTTTATCGAAAACTATGACAATAATCACACCAAAAAACGGAAACAATGTATAATGTATAAATCACGATGTATCCATCAATATAAACAATCGAATTGAATAGGAAAAAAAACATTTGTTATCATGACCAAACGATGGCGGATCATATACGCGTATACACATGATCGTCAATTCTTTTCAATACAAACAAATATGTGTAGGTAATGTCATGATTATTTAGGAAAAGAATAAAATAAAATATTGTAACCACAAACAACATTGATGACGGCCGAAAGTTTTTATTTTTTTTTCATATAGAATCAGGCTAGGTGAATTTTTATGCAATTTGAATGTTTCTTTTTCCGGGAAAGTAGAGGAGAGAGAAGTAGTGGGTAGAAGTAGGGGGAAGTATACAAAATCATCATCATCATTTATTTGAATATTATTTTGGTTAAAGAAGCAAAAAGAAAAAATTGGGCCCATTGAAAATAATCAACCTAATTTTTTTCAATTTACAAAAAAAATGACAATATTCTGAGTTGAGAATTTTTTTTTCAAAAAACAGGGCAATTTGAAATCAAATGATCAAAAAAAAAGCAATAGAAAAAAATGATGCAACGGCAATGATCCGACAATCTCTCATCATCATCATCATAATATGGACCATTAAATTCGCCAATTTTTTTCGGGTGATGTAAAAAAAATAACTGGACTGTATCGGCCAATGGTCCATCATCTGCCCATTAAGATGCATGTGTGAGTAGTTCTGGAACATCAAAACTCTCTCTTTCTTTTTTCTTTCTAATAGTTTACTGTCACACCGTACAGAACTAATTTCTTCAACCAAGTTTTTTGGTAAAATAACCTAAAATAACTACAGAAAATACATTTAATAATCAGAAGATAAACTCTTGGCAAAACTCAGAAAACTTACATATAAATAATACCGGGCATGAATTTGCCGACAAATGATTTGATAGAAAGAAAAATTATGAAGTTTTGTCCACACTTGTCCACATTTATGATGATGATACATTTGGAATAATTATTGTTCAAGTGAAAGTTCCAAAACAGCTAAAGAAGTAGAACTGAAAATTTACTCTTTGTGTGTGTGTGTGTTTGTCATCATCATTGCCTTCAATTGCAATAAAACTTTTTTCTTTTATTTTCACATCAAACATGAAACTCTTAATGGATGACGAATAATAAAAATGATGATGATCACATAACGTTTTGATGGACAACAAAATGGACGAAAAATGAGCTAATAATGGCGTGGCTACCAAGTATAGTAGAATTTATTATTCCCAATACGTGTATTTTTCAAACAAATTGAGCATGATACATTTTCATAAATTTTTATTGTTTTTATTTGTGTTTTTTGTTTGAAATTTTTTTTTTCTATTTTTGTATAAAATTCCTATTTATTGGTATATAGGAATTGTTATTTGTCCTGAATAAAATGAATGAAATAAATTATTCTTTTTACATGTTCTGTATTGGTCGATAATATGGCAAAAAAAGTTTACCATGACCATTATCATTGCGTCGTCTCGGGAATCGAACGCAGTATATAATATCGCAATAAATTTATTGTTCAATGATTATTGATCGCAAATGAATGTACCTATTAATAATTTGAAGAATAGCGCTATCAATATTGCGGTTTGATAATAATTTCACAAAACAGTCTATTAGCGCCATCTAGAATTAGTTCACGCAATTAGTATATTTTGAATTAACATTTGAACCAGATTTTCAAAATTCGTTTGGAAATTGGTCAAAAAGATTAATTGACCAATTGCGTCGTCCGGGAATCGAACCCGGGCCGCCCGCGAACTTCCGGATCCGGCGGAAATGATCCTTGAATTGTTGGCAGGCGAGCATTCTACCACTGAACCAACGACGCTGTTTTATTCAGAATTTATAAATTCAAATTTCGGACGAACAATCTGAAACAATCTGAGCCATTTTTGGTCATTAGATAATAACAACCGCTTTAGATGACATTTTCTTTGACTCAACTCTCTGAATATTGCATTGAAAAAATCTCAAGCAATCTCAAACACGATGATGAAGATGATAATGAAAACAGGTTTTTTTAGAAAAGAGTAAATCATCATAGAAATAATAACCATCAATGCAGCCAAACCAAGCAGACTGTTAGTTTTCCGGTTTTTCTCAACACATTTTGAATATGAATGTTCTGCGTATATTCTGAACAATAAAAAAAATATATATTACCTTTTGATCGATCGAGTGGCATGATCGATTCCTTTGAAAAGTTTAAAGTATAATAAAAGCTTGTTTTGGACAAAAATTTAATGGCCAATTGCGTCGTCCGGGAATCGAACCCGGGCCGCCCGCGAACTTCCGGATCCGGAGGAAATGATCCACAACTGTTGGCAGGCGAGCATTCTACCACTGAACCAACGACGCACGTAATCGAGATTTTTTTAATCGACTCTGAACCGTCTTGAACCATTGAATAATAGCAAACCTTTCGGATACCATTTTGTTCATTATGATTTGATTTTGTGTTAGATCATTTTAAGATGATCTTTTTCGGACTAAGACTTCTTTTTTTTCCGATGACTATGGACGGAAAAAAAGTTTTAAGAGAGTCAACAACGACTCCATCTCGTTTATCCATGCGTTTACTGTATGAAATATGGTACTAAAATCATGGTTCATAAAATCTTTGAAACAATCAGAATTGACATTTTTGATTGAATTTTCAATTATTGATTTTTTATTTCATTTTTCTTGCAAAACTGATTCTCTTTTCACTATTGTCATTTGATATAAGAACAAAATTTGGTATCCATTTCAAATCAGTGAAAACCTTGTGCAATAATATTGAGAAAAAAAAATGAAGAGATCATATAAAATACGAAAATCTGATTCTATCATCATTAGGCAACGTTGTAGTATCCATACAATGAAAACCTGTTTGACTAATGTGTATGTATGTATGAGCGTGAGCCAAATCATCACCATAATCATCATGTTTAGATCAAAGATGATCATCGAAGTTTGTGCATAACATATGGGCAGAATTTCGTTTACAATTCCTAGAACTATTTGGAAACTAAAAATAATGAGAATAAAATCGAAGAACAAAGTTTTTGCTTTGCAAGTGAAAAATAGATATAGAGAAGCTAGCAATTCTCGCAATTCAGAAATTTTCTTGTGTTTTTTTTTTTGGCTCAAAATGATGATGATCATCATCAACGTCAACCATAAGAAATGAATATTAATGGATCATCGAAATTTTCGTTTCAGAAAAAAATTGTAATCGTTTCGTCAGAGAATATATTATTTGCA